AAATACTTTATCAACAACTTTTACTTACACCTTTCTTTTTGTTAATTACAACAGGATTTTCGTGGAATCCACGCAAGAACATGGAACTCAAACATTCACAACGAAATGCCACCATTCTGCTCTCAAAATATTAACGTCCCTCTGGATAAGAATGCAACACAATATTTCCCAAACATCCCAATAAGTAGCATAGTGGTATAAAAAACAACATTTGCTTGCAAGTTGTACATCGGGATTGAATCACTGCTGAAGACATTTTTCAGTCATGAGCAAACTTCATTTTGATATGTTATAAAGCTTCCCAGAAAAAAATCTTGCTGTAAACATTGTTTACAAAATTCCTTTTAGTTCCGAAAGCAATTTCTGAGCGTGAAATCTTTCACTTAAAATTCAGAGGGTAGCCCATAAGGTAAAACCTATTAGATGGAGACACAATGTCTGAAAACAAAATGTTTTATGGAACGAGACAGCTTTCACTAACCCATGTAATACACTGGGTCAAGCATTTTATCAAACGAAATTTCATTCAATACCGTTCCATCGAAGCCGTTTCATTGAACACCATTTCATTGAACGCCGTTTCCTTGAAGCCCTTTCATTGAACACCGCCTAGTTGAGCATGCAGAAGGAATTTTTGATCTAGGAATTAGTTTTCTTGTAACACCAGAACGATAGCAGACCATTCTTCTCCTACAAAAAGGGGAACTAATAATAAGAAACTTTATTTTCTCTGCTACACCTTCCATTTCTGTTTTTTCATAGTAACTCATGACCTCAGCTGATAATGTGGTCATTAATAAACGCGAACTTCATCTTGACATTTTATGAAACCTATGATCATCGGGTACAGTGACGAAGATATCTCCCTTCAAGGGTGTGTCCTCGTCCTTGAAAAGATGTATCTGTTTCAAGCACGAAGGTGCCCTTGAAGCAATGACATGTCTCGATGTCGCATGAGACAGAAAAAAAATATGTCTTCTTCGTTTATTTTTTGTAATAGGTAGAACCGTGAACTTTCCGGCTTTTCAAGCTTCATTCTTAGAAAGGGAGCTATTCTAAAATCGAATAAAAAGACAAGGAAATAGATAAACACAAAATAAAAAGGCACAGCAAAGAATAGTTACATTCCTTTCCAGATGTAGTTTTGTTGTGTTTTATGATTGTGTCACCAAACATTTTGGGAAAAAGTGACCAAGCTATTCATTCGATTTCTTGTGATTTAATGGCAGGATGAGAAAAACTCCGAAGCAAGAGTAATGCTGCAGAATTCGGTAAAGTAAAATTCTATGAAACGGCATTAAGTGATTCAATGAAAGGGCGTTTAATGAATCGGCAATCAGTGAAATGTTGACTTATTCGATGAAACGGTGTTCAATGAAACAGCATTTGATGAAATGTCCAGTGCCCGTTATACATACAATGAGAAGCCTGCCTCTTAAATGGGAGCGTCAGGAAGGAAGCGCTACTTGAAACGAACAGACACACCGACAAAAACATTGCAAAATCTCGGACAAATCCTAAGGCAACCCGACAATGTGCGGTACTACAACTTGTGGGATTCTGCCACAAAAATTCTACCTCGGGGAATAACAGAAAAAAAAAAAAAAAGCCAGAAGGCCAATACTGAGCACCTACAGTAATACATAAACTTAGCACTTGTCACCCAACTTTGGATGCCAGCAGCAATGTCTAATCCACCGGGACAACATCCAAATGTAGCCTTACTCGGGTACACGACCTGGGCTGCCATGGCAAATGCCGCTACCAATGATCGACAATTCTTTCCGCAAAGACACTTAGTGCTCACGCAAGCATCGAGGCGGTGCACGAGCACCACCTCACGAAGCTCGCTCACTCGGGCGGGTCCCAACATCAGAGCAAATGCTCGTCACCAAACACTGGTTCGCACATTTGCATCGGTTGTGCTCACGGCAACCAAAACGACAGGTACGCGGGACAACCCTGGCTCACGGTTGCTTCACTTTTCCTACGGCGAACGCCTGTCCAGACGGCAGTTGCTCCTATCGTTCCGACCACTCCAAACTCGAGCGTGAAATCGTCTCAACAAAACCAATGCAAATGTCTGAATCAGACATAATGCTACTGTGATTGTCACGGCACTCAACGACTACACGACTAACAGTCAACTTCACACTCTACTTTGATTCAACGCTACAGCGAGTCTCCTACAAAGCTAGAATGAAACTCGTAAAACATTGGGGTAACAATTACAGAGTGCACGGCAAGTCTAGGACGACACAACTGCTAAAATGCGTCTTGGCATTTCTTCCTGGCCCGCTCCCCCTTCCAGCATTTTCCACAGTTGTTGCTAATGTTGTTTCAGAAATATGCATCAAGCATTAAGCTGCAACAACAGATTGGAACTCTCAGATAAAAGGCTAAGAGTGCCCTCTCCTTTTTAATGACTCGAGGTTTGATGAGTGGTAACTGCTGTCAACTTGTGACCAAACATAGTGCCCTGCAGAACTAAACATTATTGTTGAATGAACTCTGTCATGAATGAAAACTTGAGCAGAGGTAGCCTCAGTCATAATACCAAGATAAACAAAATACAGGAAGCTACGAAGGGCAGCAAGATATACTTATATTACCATAATACACATAAAAGGTGTATTCATTTACTTGAACCAAAAATATTTTATACAATGGCCCCAGATAGTTCATTGCCAAACCCGAACAAAGTGGCCACTCTTACGTGCTATTCCCCCATGGTATGCCAGTGGACAAGGAAAGGGCACCCTCCTAAGTAGTAATAATTTTGACTGTGTGAAAGCTACCTTTTCAAACCAACAATTACTATTACATCTATGTGTATGGTTAAAAAGTAGCTTAATGTACTTTAATGAACACAGCACAAATTTAAATTATCATAGTCTTTCAAATTACTGTCTAACATTAATAACATCAAACCCCAGATCAACAAACAATGGTACTTCAAATGCATGGCAGCTTTGCAGACATCAAAACATTATCATTACAATGATCTAAAAGCATCTGGGGTCCCTTTATAAAATGCATAACACAACACGATGGACCCTGTAGACAGTCAGTGTGCTTCTGGCTTAACAGCACACCATTCATGGTCCTAGCGAACAAATTTCCTGCTCCCATGTCATTTTGGGAAACAACAGCAGCGGGAATATAACTTTGAGTTTCGTATGGGTCCCAGAAAGGAAATGTTGCAAAAACGGCGAGAATTCTGCACAGAATCTCTTGCCCTCAAGGACCTTTTTTCAATGACCCATCTGCTTTTCCCCAGGGAACTCTGCATCCAGTCGAGGCAGGAAATGCTCATTGAAGTCGAACACCCTTCAAAAATGACAACACAGCAGTGCCACCCCTAGGCGGTTCAGTTCCTGCTCAACACAATGTGATCATGCTTTGATATTACATTCTATGGCAGGAATGTTCAGTGTTCACCACAAACTTGAGCCGCTTCACCAGGTACAGCTACTACCCTGGAACTGGAACGTGCAGCAGCTCTAACAACACCCCCGAAAATGATTGTCCCGGTCAAGGCCTACTGTTACAAAAATACACAGCTACCAGCAACCACACCTCTAGGCAAACACCGTGGATGGGTAAAGCTAACAATCCAACACCCAATAGAATTAACGTCACGACCGATGTTTTTCGCTTCATTTGTTTCTACGTTATCTGGCAGGACCTTTCCACGACCGCCCTTGCAGTCAAGCGTGCCTGTAGTCCTTTACATAAACAGATATATTAATCTTTTAACGTAGGATATGTTATAGGGGAGGCCATACAGGGAGAGGCAAATACAAAACAGAGGCATGGAAGCGATGTCATAAGCGCCATGCGACCAAGTCACGTGGACAATGCAAAGGGGTGCAGCACGAGTCTATGAGTCTCGGTGCACACAATTGCACCATATTCTATGTACAGGAAGTTTGTTAGGGACAACCAAAATGGGGTGCAAGCTTTTTAGAGCGCAGCTCTTAGGCACCCGGTTCCGGCTTGAGCGGTGTCGGCGGGAGGACCTCAGGAGGACCTGGGTACCTTCGGTGACCTCGGGAAGGGGGGGGGGGGGGGGGGGGCACGTGACCCCCCCCCCCCCCCAGTACCCTTCCCCAGTCCTCCTCAAGAGCTGCACTCTAATTCGGCTTCGGCGTTACAGGGAGTTGTAAACGGTTTTCACTTTTTTTTTTCTTTAGCACCCCACGATTTTGTCTAGACAATTTCAAGAAATCTATCACTTTACGAGTCAACAGGATTACAGGATATAACCAGCTAGGGCTAGTCGCTCGCCCCACCCTCTGCTTAGTGCCTAAAGCCAGTCATTCTATCGTGCCAGCAGCTTGGCTTCTAGAGCTGGAGGCTAAGACTCAAAGCAGATCAGAAGGTGTAAATAACCATACAGTTAAAAAAAAATAAGCATACAGTTTGACACCCTTTGTTTAGCTATTCCTGCCCAGTCTAAGCTGCCATGTGTCTTCACTAGTACTTCATCCATGGTATTTTATTTCCTTCCGTAAACAGCCCATCAATGGGCACCACTCAGCGAACAACAGGGGAAGGTCGGGCAAGATATCTCCAAGGTTCAGGAAGCGCTCTAACATGACTTCTGTGGGACGCAAACACTCGGCTGACTACACACTGTAAAATGGCTGTACACAACTGTAGAGTGCAGAAGGGCTGAATCGTTTAAAAACTTCCTGCTCCCAGCTCAAAATTATAAAATGGACAGAGAGGGAGGTTAAAGGGCAACTCCGCTCAATTCTGAAGATTTCGGGATAATCAGTGATTTCGAATTAAAAAGCCCTAGTAAAAGGCGCTACATAGTTTGCTTCGCGAAAAATGGGACATATATTTTTAAATCTAATTTTAAACACGAGCGGAAATCGAAACCGAAACTTCGGCTCCGTCCGGCAACATTGGCCTCGGGCCGCCAAGAACATGGCCATCACGTGGTACGAGATGTCACGTGATCCTCGGCCCAATGACGGGCGGGATTGGGGCGGGCGTGTGGCAGGCGCGAGTGTCGTCTGCACCGCAATCTTCGCCACGTTTTGGTGTCTACGGCATTCGACGACGTCTGCACAACTGTGGCACAAGTCTGCACACGTGGTGTCCGTAGTGTGGATGAAACTCCGAGAGACAATAATCGCAAAAGGTGAGACGACGACGATGGTTGTGACGCGGAAGACTGCGGTAACGGCGGGACCACGGTAGGCGGCCGGAGGCTCCCAAGAAGCGCGCTGCGCAGGCGCCAATCACGTGGACACCGCTGAGCGCCGAGAGGCAACATTGCTGACATCATGCGCTACGCTCGACCGGAGAAGTAAAAACAAGCAAAAGGGGGCCATGATGATGACGTTCACCTCAATGTTGGCTCCGCCCATGCCGTAGCCTTGACTGCGCTGCTGGTTTCGCCTGAATTCGCCCGCTCGAGTCAGCCGATTTCGACAACTTGGCGAGTTGCAAAGTTTGCCGGACCGTTTAAGAAACATTTAGACAGAACTGCGTCGTAATATTTGACGTGTGGTCTTCCTAGGTGATACTGAAGAGGACTGCATTGTTTTTCAAAACAAAAAATGAAGCGAAGTTGCCCTTTAAGTGCGCTAGTGGACAAATCAGTCAGAGCCGGAACTCGGCTTACAAACTTCAGAATCACAAGATATTGTCCTGCAACAACATTAAAAAAACATCCACGTAAATTGCTGTTGATTTTCAAAAGTGCCAATTACTGACCTACCAATGCTTCTTCATGAACCCAATAAAATTAGATGGCACATTTTTATGGGAAAGTGATGAACTAAGGGACTGCTTTAAAGTGAGCACCAATAAAAGAAAGAGCTAGAGATAATTATTAATGACTACTTTCTTTCCCATCCCTTGTCAGTGCAAGGTATGACTGTCTGCTATCTAGATTTGGTGTGCCCCGTAATTATGTTACACTTGCGCTCAAAAGTTCCACAACAGGCTCCTGATAACTATAGTCTGGCACACTTACTGTCCAAGACCTCAGCAGGGACATGCACCAAAAGCTTTGTAAAAAAGCAATGTCTTTTTAGAAACTCGCAGCAAAGGCATTGCACAGTAGGTGTAGGTACTCCTAATACAAGAAAGATTGTTAGAAACTGAAATAGACCAACCGTACATGTACACTTTGCATTCTTTTTTCGATTTATGCCATGTTGTCGAATCCCACGACTATGCATATGCATATTACAGATAAATAGCACAAAGGTCAAGTTCACACCGACGTAACAAGCGCAAACTCACAACTATCATTTTAATACTCATGCCGAAGACGAGAAAGCGGTAGCATTTGTTTTAGGGGCGAAGCTCCTTAGGGTCTAGCCTTGTCCGTCCAGGGTCCGTGCTCACATCGATTGCCATCCCATCTGTCTTCTTAAAAAAGGAAAAAATTTTTGCGCAGTCGACAGGATTCGAACCTGTGCGGGGAGACCCCAATGGATTTCTAGTCCATCGCCTTAACCACTCGGCCACAGCTGCGGGACGAGTAGGGGGCTCTGAGGTGGGGTAGTAACTCAAGAGCTGGGGTTAATAAGTAAGTAATAGTAATAATAAGTAAGTAATAAGTAATAAGCAGTAATAATGAAGTCGAAACGCAACCCGGAACTCGGCACTACCTATGAGCAATAAAAATAATCAGCACCATCAGCACTACCTATGAACAAAAAAATCAGTATCATCAGCACCACCAGAGCTTTGCCCCAATCAACATTATTCACCACGTGGAGATGCTGTGATTTTTTTTCTCTCTTTTGAGCATACAAAAAAAAACCTTCCCAAAAGAAAATTATGTTCAAAGAACTGAGAAAAACGCAAAGAAAGAAAGAGGAGGATGTTACATTAAAAAAACTGAGAAAATGCAGAAAGAAAGAGGAAGTTGCTGACAGTAAACCACTGAAACAACCTCAAGTAGGAAAATGAAGGTAATGAAATTCTTTGTCACTTAATGCCACTGATGATGCACTGACACGGGAGTTTTCCTCTTTTTTTTTTTTTGATGATCATCGCCTCATACAGTTTCCTCGATCTCTTCTCACGGAACCTTCGCAGGGCCTTTGTCTCCGTGGGTGTCGGTCCGCAGTTGCAGTCTCTTACAACTGTGAGATGCCCCGCTGGCGTTGACTTGAGTGAAGAAGCATGCTCCCGTAACCTGGTGTTCATGCAGCGACCTGACTGAACCACGTATACTTTGCCACAGGTGAAGCTCTTCTTTCTTTCTTCACGTTATTTCTCAGTTCCTTGAACCTAACTTCCTCTTCCCATTAAGGCAATTTCATTTTGGCAAGGATTTTTATATGCTGAAAAGAAAGGAGAGAATGAAAAGCTAGCTCTTTCTCGTCTTCTGTATAAGTATTAAAATGACAGTTATGAGTTAGCGCTTGTTCCGTCAATGTGTACTTGACCTTTGCGCCATTTATTTTTAATTATTAACGTATACCTGTCTCGGGTACCGATTTGAAAGGTCCTATCCCATCCACATGGGATTCAAAAATAAGAAGAATGTTTATCTGGGCCCAACAGCCTAAACTTGCTCGCAAAACACAAATCCTCAAGGCCACTCCATCTCAACCTGTCACCCAGGAAAAACTGCAAGAACCATTACCACGAAAGCCCGTGAAAGAGTCTGTCGAACACACAAAGACCTCCATGATACAAAGTTTGACAACAGTTAGCGCAAACAAGTGCAAGTGACCGTCGGTTTTCTGCTGTCTTTCTCTCGGAACTCGAGGTCTGTCATCGAGCCTTCTATAGTGATAAAAGTACTCAGTCGGAGCACTAACCTTGGTGTCCGTTAATACGCTGCCACGATGAAATGCAAGAAAATGCCATTGTTGCGTTCGTGCTAACTGCGTCGGGCTGTGTACGTTACATGTGCCGTATAAAATCGGCGAGCGTGCTGTTATGTGCGTGTATTTTTTACATTTGCACTTATCTACCCCCTTGCACAATTCCTAACGGAGCAGCATGTATATGTGCGAATGGAGAAAATAACTTGGATTACAAAAAAATAAAATAACAGATTACACTAGGAACAGAAAGGTATTGTATATTTCGTGACTTATTATCAACTTATTATTGAGGTCCCATAAAGAATAAATATATTAATCTATGAGATCACCGGTGCCATATATATACTAAATCAATATTGCACATTATTAGGAATTGCAAAACCACACTACACTAACAAACAACAAAGATCAAGCAAGAACCCCCAAAACACCGTGAAAAAAACTTCAGCAGCACGGCACTTAAATTGTGAGCAGACTAAAAAAAACTACAGAAATTTTTGCCAACCAAGTCTTTTGTCTTTTTTAAACACTTTCCGACCTGGGTATTGACAAGAGATTATAGAGGTGTTCTTAGGAAACCTACAGTAGAATAGAACACGAAACAATAAAAAAAGAGAGTAAAAGTTCAGTAACATAAAAATGTAATAAAAAAACAAAGTATGTACCATGTAATAAATCTCAGATTTCTGAATGCTGAGGCATAAATTATTTAGGTCTATGTATAAGTTACTAAAACTTGCAACTCTCTCATGTTAACTAAGCGGACCAGTTTTTGCTAAGACGATATTGATTTTTCGCTGCAATTTCTTTTTGTAGGTTAGCGTTAAACATTCAACTTAACCACCCCAGTCAGTGCTACAAATTATGATATTGCAGTCTAGCAGTAAATAGTATTTTTGTTGGCAGCCTTCTAGTACTAGGGGGATAAAAATAGCCAAACTTGACAATCTCATGTTCCGGCTAGATAAACCTCTCTGTACACATTCATTCACATGCTGAAACAGCACAAAGCATTACTCAGATCAAAAGAAGATGTATAAACCAAGAGTGACGTAACTAGAAAAAAACACCGTATACCATTTTTTGTGAATCATCATGCTCACAAATCATGAGATGAGCTAAAAGAGGTTGTGCTGTTGAGACTAAGTTTGATTATTACAATATTTTATACTCAGTGGGTTCAAAGTCAGGGAAGTATTGTTTCACTCCTAAAAAAACATTACCCCGGGTATGCAGCAGTACAACATTTGACACATGATATGCGTACCAGTGTAAATACACAGAAATTTGTACTATCTACGCCAAGAGGTATACAATAGTTCTACTTTGTGCAACGAGCCTCGCTCGATCAACTGATATGCCGAGTAGGAAAAAGTAGGTTTCCCTTTGATTTTCAGACAAATTATCCGCAGCACCTCCCACCGTTACGGATGAGAGAGCAAGGCAAAAACGGCCAAAACATTCCGTCTGTTGCCCAAAATTAGAAGCCTCTTCTGAATCCCTCGTGCAACTCCACAAAGTTCTCGTCTTGCTGCTCCAAATCAGCGAGGAAGCAATTTTTAAGAAATAACAAAGGAATCAATGGGCTGAGTTGGGCCAGTTGGTATTGAGACACAATGAAGAACAGCAGACAAAAGACAGGAAAAGGAAGAGACACACATAGAACATGCAAGCGCTGACTCGCAACTGATATTTATGAGAGGAAGAAGAAAACGACGTTCGAATGTCGTTTTCTGCTTCCTCTTATAAATATTGGTTGCGAGTCGGCGCTTGCGTGTTCTATGCATGTCTCTTCTTGTCCTGTTTTTTGTGCGCTGTTCTTCATCACGCCTCCAGGTAAGGGATCCTCCATACGAACGCGACAAAACAGACTCTGTTCGTACGAGTGCCTACTTTGAGTTTATAGAGCGTCTGTACTACGTTTCAATGAAAGGACTCAAAAAGAATGAGCCTTTCTCCCCGTACCAAGCCACTTCTATATAGTCACGACAAGTGGGAAACGGCAGGGAGGTCTCCCGCTTGTTTCGGCGCAAGCCTTTGACAATGTTTTCAACATCTCGGGAGCTTCGAGAGTGCACACTAGGCCAAAGCACTGTGGAAGGCAACAAATGCATTTTTGGGCATCGAAAAGAAGTGCCGTGCCTTTCTGATCCCATCAGCGACCCTACCCAACGGGAGAAAAGCGCCCGACCGAACGCCAACGTGGAAATCGATTAGCACTCGTCGAAGGGAACGAAATAGAGACGACTCTCGCATCACGTTTGGGGCCTGCCGTGCGGGTGTGGACTCGAGTCGGCGGCGGCCTCTTCCTCCCAGGCGTTCCACTCCCAGCTGTCGACCGTCGAGCCCACCCCGCTGGTCGCGTCGTCGTCGAAGGTGCCGCCGCCACCGCCCCGAGGCTTGAGCAGGTTGCGGGTGGAGCGCAGGAAGCCCCGGGGCGACCAGTGGTGGGCGTCCGTGGCGGCGCTGCTCCCAAACGCCGAGCTGCTGCGACTGAGCACGCTCTCGAGCGAGTAGCTCAGGGGGCGCTCCGTGTTCCTCAGGTGGCTGCCCAGAGGGTTCGCCTGCGACGAGCGCAACGTAGGAGATGTCGTTACCTCTCTGCCGAGTAATAATAATAATAAGAAGAATCTACATTAGTTCCTTCAATGCAATACATACTGCGTGACCTCTCCCCCAAAATAAACTATGCGTAGCCAAAAGCTCAGTGTCCAACCAAACACAGCGCTAGTAACCAAAACAAGAGGCCAAAGTTTCCGAGGCTAGCCGTCGGTTCATTCAAAAGTTATACGAGCCATTTCCTGAGAGTTTCAACGGGAAAATGGGGCCTGTTCCCATTGAAAGTTTACGAAAATCGCGCAACTTTTAATAAAACAATGGTTTCTTCCGATTTGGATTTGGCAACTGGTCTGGACCACTTACGCTATATGTGGTCGACGGACACTGAGCATTTGGCAATGAGTGTAGCAGGGATGCGATTGGTCTGAGTGATTTTGGAGGCCCTTTTGAAGCAGCCAAAAGTCCATTTTGGAGCAGCAAAAAGTACTTTTGGAGCATGAGCCCACATCTCATTTGCGTTAACATCTACTCTGCCTTCCTGCTTCTGTGCAACCTCTTGATGGCATCAACGGCATGGCAGGTTTGGTTCCTTACCTAGCAGTTTAATTGTGCATAGAGGTACATTGCACAGTACCAAGATGTATATTGAATTATTGATTAAGGACAGTAAAAACAGCTGTGCATGGTTATTTTAGGTATGAAATCAAACACAAACTAAATAGTAGGGCCCACTGAAATAATGCTGGAATATAATAAATTCAAGCTCCCAAATTTATGTTTTTTTGTTTTTTTTTTTCAAGTTCTACAGGTTGTAATAAAACAGCAGTTTTAAATCAGATACAATACAAAGCTTTTGAGATTTGATTAGGAACATTAATGACATTTTATATGCGGAACTTCATATTAACAAAACAAAAGGCATGTGAACGATAAATAAGCTTTATTAAAAAAAAATCTCACTAACATGTTTAGGTTATTTGTGGGTTTGCATTCACTGCCTCAGTTAATTTAGTTTTAATTTACTGTTTTCACTGTGCCATTGCACGGATGGAACCTTTATAAAAGTAATAACTAAATGAGGGTTGGCATAAAAAATAAACATAGAGAGCAGTTCATAGAAGTTTTCTTGCGATACTCAAGTATTCTCGATAAATCTTGAATGTGAAAAAGAAATTGTTAAAATATCGCTATCCTATATACTAGCCCTTTCAGAAACCGTGTGTTAACCCTCATTTTGGGGGAGTGCCTTCCGCCTAGCGTGCGGGTGCACTATGGCAAAGCAAAATATGCAAAATTGTGATGCCATACGAGGTGACAAGTGCACTCAACAATGCTAGCTAACCATTCACAATAGGCAACGAGCGTAAGAAATATTGCGAAACTTCCGAGTACTGTCTATGTTTGATACAGCGCTCAAAGTGAATATCATGTTATTTGAGGCGATAATCAAAAGTTTTGGAAATTCACACTAGCTTACCGTAATGATACAGCCCTGTAACAAGGCCCAATTTATTATATTTTTCACTCTCAGTTGTAACGAAGTGAAAATAAGTTTTGGCGCAACGTTGGCACAAATTCCGCATATCTTGGAAAAGTGTAGCAGGATGTAGCACGGTAAGCACTTTGGCGAAGTGATCACATCACTGGTATAGTTTATTTTTGCAATTAAACGACCACTATATTTTTGAGAGAGACACCATGTATTTTCAGGCCCGTCAAAGCCGCAGAGGCTTGTGGGACGGATGCCAGCAATCAGTTTCAAGCTCACCGTCATGTTTTTCCCTTTTTTCTTTATTTCCTTCGTTATCCTCTGATACCACACCTTGCACCCAAAACAGAACCCCAACACTGACAAACAAAAAAAAAAAATGTTCAGAATCCCTTCAATGCTCCAGAGGCGTCTTCTCACTTCCATTTAACCCTCTCCCCTTCCCCTCCCATACACTAATCCCCCATTCAGCCTTCCCCATGAATGCTAGACGATACTTCTCAAGAAGCCACAATGTACCTTTTTATGCTAATAAAACTCGAGGAGGCCTCGGAACTGAATTCAAGCTGTCAGCCTCCCCTTTACCGCCAAGTGTAGAGCCACCGAATAAGACTCGGTTTCGAACTAGTTTGTCCCTGAAGTTCAGCAAGCATCTAAGCGCAAACAAAAATAGACATGGAAAAGCACTTGTCCGTCTTCCCTTTTTTGAGTTTGTCTCTGTTTATGCTTACAGGTTGCCTGACCACTCAAAAATACAGTGAAATACTACTTGAACAAACTCTAGTTTAAACAACCACGTATTCGGATGAACAAACTTTCGTAAAATTCCCCAGCAAAACACCTATGTGGCCAAAGCATTCAGTTGAGTAAACTTTCCCTTAAGCAAACTATATCTTTTTAGGTTCTTTAAAGTTTGTTCATATGGTAGTACAAGGAGCATTCATTAAGTTTGTATTATTACCGCAATAAAAGAGAGCTGCAGTCACGAGCGTGGGTGGTGAGGTTAAACCATATGCTGATAAGCATCACACTAGGCAACACGCTTCTCCCACAGATTGATGAGTGGGTGAATACCCTGGATGTGCAAGTACTCATTTTGGATCTCGACAAAGTCTTCCACCTCGACATTCGCCTCGTCATCGCCCTGAAAACACCTGCCAAGCAGAGGGTTCTTTACGCAAGGAAGGAGGCAGAAGTCACCAAGTGTCAGGCCGGGTGAACACGGGGGCGGAGGTATAATTTTGTAACTTAAATCAGCCGCACGCGTCACCGTCTGCTGCGAAGAATGAGCCGGTGCATTGCGGTGGAGCCAACACCCTTCCTCGGTGAGCTTCCCGTAATGCATTGTAGCCTCACGTAGCCTAGTCAGGAGGTCCTAGTAATAGTTTCCAGTGGCTGTTGGATCCTTACAGGTACAATGTGTCAGAAGCACACCATGGCAGTCTCAAGAAACGCTAATTATCGCTTTCCTCAATGACGGCTCAGTTTTGCCCTTTTTGAACGGGGTTGAATCTGCGTGGTTCTAATATTTCTTCGTTTCGGGGCCAAAATGGTACGTCCAACGCTCGTCCACGGTGGTCGGGCGACTGAACAAGTCGTCGAGGTTGGGTCGGCAAGACTGCAAAATTTCTGTCTAAAACTCTTTCCGCCGCTGTTTTTGCACGGGCTTGAGCAGTCGCATAGCCCAGTGGACGGTGAATTCTATAGTGTAAAATCATTGGGCATTATGAGAAAAACTTTTTCAAACGCACCGAGATTACAGTGACATTGGCTCGTCTCGCAACCCAAATTTTTTGGCGATATTTCTCTTTCTTCAAGCCAGCAATATTTTTCTTTTTCCCCGTCGGAAAAAGGATTGCGGAACGGGTCGTAGTTTGCTTTCTCGACTTCTAACGCCTCGAACCGTTGCTGGAACTTTGAGGGAAGGTAATCAACGCATTGTTTTACATCTCCTTTTGTTTTGCGAGGAAAGAAAGTGGGTTTCTGCACTGAGTCGGGCCGCAAGTCGTATGCAGCCTACAGGCCGTATGTTCGCACCCCCGGCTTAGAGTACCGGCGGCCCGTTTCCCAATAGCCTCGTGGGTGCCGCGCCGCCGTTTTGTCGCCAGTGCACGGCAGGCACAATTGGCGACGGACACGATTAGAAACCGTGACTTGCCAATTTTTAGGTAGTGTCGGGATGCTAGGGCAGCATCGTTTTGCTACGTCGCGGACCGTGGACTGGAGGACGGAAAAGCGTTTCCGGCGATTTCAGATAAAGCTTCTGATAACTGTCAACTCTGAAGCTCGGCATATTTAGTGGTTGTAGCTAAATAAATGAGCAATTATCAGTCTCACAGCACAGGATCACACTCTCTACGCATGTTCTCGTTTAGAGAGCAGGCTCAAGCGATTAAATTCGGGCGGCCGATTGGCTTGGCAAGCACGTACCTTCCACCGCTTTGTCTGCTTAACCGTAACTACAGTACAGATTGATGCAAGATTCGCGAGAACGCTGCCAAAATCGAACTTGCACCAATGCGAGCCGATCGTAAAACAGCCAAAGGAAACCAAAGAGAAGTAAAAACAATTTAAATTAGATTTGGCTTCCCCAGGGGCACTCGAGTGAATTCTAAGACCATCTATTTACAGTGATACCTCAACTTACAGGCTCCAAGCGTCCTAACAAAACCGAAATAAAACTCATGGGTGACCGATTTCCCTCTTTCTGAGCCGTGGAGCAGACACCAGGGGGCATGGTTGGAAGGCGTCTTTGAACAATAATTGCAGTATTATGTCTGCTATGCCCAAAATATTTGACGTTTTTGTCGAAGCATAATGCGCAATGCGCCTAAAAAGAGCAATAATAGTAACGTCCAAAATCTCCACGCAATTAACTGCAGTATAAACTCGTTACAACAGACCTAGATAGTAATGAAGATCTTGGCCTGTTGTACAAGGAGTATGCGGAACGCAGATACTTTTTCCACATACTTTGAGATGGATTTTGACTGAAGTCTGTTCCGAGTAAAGTGTGCACTGGCACATTCAAAAGTTGATAAAAGCTAAGGTGCGCCGCATGAGCACAGCCGCACAGTTGGTATCCGACAGTGGGTCCGCGTCAATCCGCTCCACTAATCGTAGCCTACTGAGCTGAAGAGGATGGAATCGGAGTGAGGTCACCTTACGGTGCTTAGGTCGCGTCTTTGGCCAGCGTGTTTAGTGTCCTCCACCGCCCATAAACCGAAAGCGATCCCAAAGTCTCGACAAATCACATTGCGGGAGCCATCGCGTCACGTCATTGGTCGACGCGACCCCGGCAATTGCTCGTAGAAGTTCCGCCAAAAAGAACGAGCGAATGCAAGCGTCGCTGCTGTCGCGGCTGTTCGAGTTTCCACACACTGTAAAGCTGAAAGCAAACCACAGCAGAACGACCGTCTGTCATATCCATCCCTGTGCCACTGCCAGGATTGCAGCAGGCAACGGCGTGACAGATACGACGCCGTCGGGTGGAAGTCAAGGGACCACAAATGAGGACACAATAAATAGTCGGAGATGCACTCCTAGCAACCCGGCCGCAGCGAGAAAGGTGCGGGGACCCACCAGGGAAACCATCTTGCGGCTGACTAGGACAGAGTCCGACTTGGAGCGGTGCAGCTGGCAGCCGGGCATGCTGTCTCCCCTCTCCGGAGCGTAGGACTTGGACTTGCGCATGTTCGAGTCCACGTCAAAGACGTCGTCGCACGTCTGGATGCCCACCGCCTTCAGGATGATGTCCATCTTCTTCACGTAGTCCGTGTGACCGGACACCTGCAAGATGGGGGTAATTGCGGAGAACAAATTTGTAATGAAGTTGATCGCTGAAAACTTTTTCATTTCTATGCTTAGTGGTTGTCAAATCGGGTTCCGCGGACCCGCCAGTGTCCGAGAAACCATTTTTGGGGACTGCAAAATTCTCGCCTCAACCCCCCCCCCCCCCCCCCCCCCCGCCCTCCTTTCTGGAAAAGAGAATTGATTTTTTTTGTTGTCCCTGGCTATGTGGCACAAGCTACCACCCGTTACCATGTTGTCATGGATGGTTAGCTGTTACCATCTATCCATCCACTCATCTTTTTACTTGATGCTTCTCACTTCTGCCTATAACAGTAGAGGATGCCCTTTCCACACTGCAATTAGTCGTCTTATTTTATACCCCCCTCTGCCCCCTTCCCCTTCTGACATGGGGTCCTACATCACTGTTGTGGGTCTCCAATGGCCCCTGAATACATCAAGGGTTGAGAACCGCTGCTTTAGCCTTTCCGAGGATGGAAAGATCGAGCTGTCGCGATTGCTCGTAACATTCATACGCTGCAGTGCGCTCTTGCATGGGATCCTCGAGGTATGTGAAAAAAGAATCTGCTGTGCTTTTAAGACTCCAATAAAATGCCCATTCCACGTGAGGGGATAAACGGTGAAGGATACGGGGTGTACAATCTTTCAATCTGCGGTCGTAAAAAAGTTTGCCAGGTAAGCGATTAACGTGTGGGCACCCTCTAGAATCTTAAATAACAGGACCTGATAATAATGTATCTGCGTTAGCGTTAGGAAGGTTAGCGTACGTGAGTAAACTTCATCAATTGATGTGGTAAAGCATTTGCTACATGTCTAAGAACAACCACAAGCTCTACCCAGGTGGTCCAATTGGCTACTTGCACCGGCAGGTCGCACATCTTGCCGGCACTACTGTCGGCCGGGTGGAAAAAGCTACCACCCACTTCAATGGTAGGTGCAATCGTAGCACATGCTGCCGGTCGTTGTTACTTTCGAAATTTCAGATGTTCTTACTTGAACACAATGAGGAGATCTATAAAATGGTAAATAGAACAATCTCATTTAATTTCTCATAAAAGGCTTAATTGCTACACAGTGATTGCGGTAGAATAAAATGCAACAAAAGCATGACTCAGCATTTTCCTCTATCTGTAACAGGGGTGGCCAAGCTGCGGCGAAGCTCTTCGCGTGTTAAAGTGCGGCTCGCGGCTTCCTCCCCTACCCCCGCCCCTCCCACACGAGCACTTCCCCAAAAAGAGAAATGGTGCACGTTTTAAATTGAAAGACAGGTTGCGGTTTGGTAGTAATGTGCTACTGCTACCTCACGTACAGTTGGACTGCTTTTGACCGGGATAGATTGAAAGTATTTCGAGTTTCATTTATTACACTAAACAAAAATACCCCCCCCCCCCCCCCCCCCCCCCCCCCATGGCTCCTGGAAGTTTCGTGGCTCTATTTGCAGCTCTTAGGCTGGGTTAACCTGGCCACACCTAATCTATAAGATGACTGCTTTTTTTTTTTTTACTGAGAATACTACAGTAACAGGAAGCTGATTGCATAATAGATTGCAGGTCATGGTGAGATATGTCTCCATGTTTTTCGTCAATAAGGTATACTAGCCATAAAAATGGAGTGGATGATTGTCACAGAATTCAATAGCTACTTTTGCTTTTCAATGGTTATGTTGTTGTCCGTTGCCGTGTTTGTGAGTGGGGTGCGCGAGCGCCAAGGACAGGAGCACGAGCTTAGCCCGCGCGCGCGGGGTTTTGTGGAACACATCGCGGAGCAAGGTTGCGACGGTGTGGATGGTCGGCGCTGAGCAGGTCCGCGGCGGTATGGTTGTTCGAACACCGAGAAGGTATTCGACGGAGAGGGGTGTGAGTGCTTGTGAGTGAGTGCTGTGCGTCACTACAACACCCAAGCCACCATGACTTCTCGACCCCGACTGGCGGCGCAACAAACCGGACCTCCACCTGCACCTTGGAACGCTGACTCGGCTCTCCCCCTCCAAAACTGTATGACAACCTCGATTCGACTTTTGATATTTTTTTTTCTTTCCTTCTTTCGACTGTGTGTACGTCCTGTGCGCCTTTCCTTACTTTTGAATTATTTTACATAAAATACTGTTCGTAACGTCGGCATGCTTTGCTCTCAATTTCCTCCAGCCTTTCAGGATGTCTATCGCCAAGGTGTGGTCCTAACACCTGGACAGCGGTCCAAGTCAAATTACAAATGTGTTTGTTTAAATGGGATCTTTAACATCCGAACCTGTGACAAGCTGGCGTCCGCGACAGGACCTGCTGTCCACTGTGACGATCTATCCTGAGAGGAGGAGAGTGAGCGAGTGAGTTTGCCACGCCGTAGGGAGCGCGTTGTGAGGCTGACGCCGTTGCGGGAGCACACAACCCGGCTTACCGATCGGGAGCAGAGGAGAGGTTCTAGAGTCAGACTATTCAGCAAAGGGTCCGCGCGACTTCAGCCATGGAGCTCCACGAGCTAATAGCCAGCGGAAAAGAACTCGGGCTCAAGGGTTCGGCCCTAAAGGAATGGGTGGACCAAGAGAGGGAGAATACGAGAGCCGCGAGAGCGCAAGAGCAAGAGAGGAGTGTCGAAGCGGAGCACCGAACCCTAGAGCTGAGGATCAAACTGCAAGAATTACAGAACGCGTCGCCGATCCCTGTTACCAGTAGCTCTGCCGAAAACGGGACCGGGACAACGCTATGGAAGAGTCCTCAGCGTTGGCTGCCCACCTTCGACGAGAAGAAAGACGACCTTGATGCCTACCTGATGCGCTTTGAGAGACTAGCGAGCGGGCAGATGTGGCCCCGCGAACACTGGGCCACTGCGCTTAGCGTATGCTTGGCAGGGGAGGCACTTGGAGTCTTTTCTAGGCTAACCCCGGAGGATTCTGTCGAATACGATAACGTAAAGAAAGAGCTCCTGCAGAGGTTTCGGTTAACTGCGGACGGCTTCCGAGACAAGTTTAGAAGTGCTAAGCCGGAAAAAGGGGAAACCGGTACACAATATGCGGCGAGGTTGTCTAGCCTGTTTGACCGTTGGGTCGACCTGTCCGGGACGGCGAAGGATTTTGCCGCCTTACGGAATTCGCTGCTCACGGAGCAGTTCGTTCGGAGCGTTCCGTCAAAAATGTCGCTTTTCTTAAGAGAAAGAAAGAGCAAACAGCTAGGCGAAATGGCTGACCTCGCAGACCGCTATCTGGAGGCCCAAGAACAGGAGCCGGCCAGAAGAGAGGAGGCTACACCAGACACTGCAGCCAGTGGATCTCGACCGACATCGAACGGTCAACAGTACAAGGCCAGTAAACTTCTTAGAAAATGTTTTCTTTGCGGCAGAAGTGGACACCTAGCGGCACAGTGCAAAAGCGGTCAGAAACCGAGCAGCCAAGCTGAGACCTGCCGAAGTTGCGGAAAGTTCGGTCACACGTCCAGTCAATGTTGGAACCGGGACGGAGGATCTCAAGTTTCCTGTGTTCAAGCAAGCAGGGAGGAGGTGGACGCAATATCTGGTCGTGTGAAAGGTGGCTATGTTGAGCTGAGGGACGGCACCAAGGTGCCAGTGGTAAACGCGGTGTCCGGGACTTCTCGCCTGATGGGGGACATGCCTGTAGCTGCCGGAAAACTGCACGGACAAGCTGTCACTGTGTTGCGTGACACAGGCTGCAACACTGTCGTAGTGCGCCGAAGCCTCGTACCAGACGACAAACTGACCGGAACGTCGAGTCTCGTGTACTTGGGTGGACGGGACTGCAAGGGTCTTGCCTGAGGCCAGGGTGCATGTTGAGACTCCTTTCTACAGTGGGAACGTCGTGGCTCAGTGTATGGAGAACCCTTTATATGACCTGATTTTGGGTAACCTCCCTAATGTGCGTGCTCCCAGCGAACCGGAAGCAGGCTGGAATAGACCAGAGAAAACTGAAGTGGGTTTGCCTCACGATGAGAAGCAAGATGTAGAGATTTGTGCCACCGCAGCCATGAAAACAAGGTCTCAGAGACTGGCGGCAAAGAATGCCACCCCGCTGAGAGTACCCATAATCGAATGTGCAACTGCTAAGCCCGAAGAACTTGCGACACTACAAAAAGAAGACAGCAGTCTAAAGGGGCTCTTCGACCGTGTCGGAAAGGTAGCCAACTGCACAAACTCGGAGGACACCGAAGAGTTTGTCATGCACCGGGGACTGTTGCACCGAGTTTTTCGGACATCAGAGCGGGAATTCTACCAGTTGGTGCTCCCTAGGAACTTACGGGACGGAGTGCTTCGTATGGCTCATGACGGCATTTCGGCTGGACACCAAGAGGCAGAGAAAACCACACTCCGTATCGTCAGCGAGTTTTACTGGCCCGGACTCCAGGCGGACGTCAAACGATGTGTCAGATCCTGTGACAAGCGCCAAGACAACGAGCAGTTATTTCTTGCATCTGCATCGGCACATCAGTGGAGGGAGGAGAGTGCGATGGAATCGGCTCGTCTTCAGGTGGAGTGCAATCGCCTTGAAGAGATGATAGCACTTCTGGAAGCTGAGGAGGACCTACAAAAAAGTGCTGATAAGGCATTTGAGGATTTCACAGCACAAATTGAAAGCTCCCAAAGGAGGGAAGCTTTGGAGCCGACAAGTGTCAACGGTTTCAATCTATTGGTAAAGATTGATGGCCAGATGAGAGGCGCGGATGCGTCCTTTGGAGATTCAGAACTCTATCCCAGATCGACTACGGAAGCTGAAGCTTCAGGCCTGACGAACCAAGGGGACACTGAGGTGCACCCCGTCGTTGTAGGTAGAGATCCTAAGAAAAGCACAACGAGTGCTAAGAGAGGGGAGCATGAATCTATGGGTGAAAAAATTAAGCGCGAACTTCGTTTGAAATGCAAGTCAAACGCGCAAAGAATGTTGCTCAGGCAGCGCAAAGGAAAGGTCATCAGGCGACGAGACCGCCATGCAGTGAAAAGTTCATCCAAAAGACAGAGCACACGCTATGCTAACGTGAAAATCTGGATCATCTGGAATACGAGAGATCATGCGAAGTTTACCTCTAACTCTGAGATCCGGTTGAGAGTCGCAGTAAGCTGGGAAGACAGAAGGCCAAGGCTTGGAGGTTAGATGAGTAATCAGTGAATTGCATATCTCATCGAAAGATTAAGACTGGGTTCTCTCCTAACCGGTTGTGCTAATTACTGGTAAAATATTTTGTTTTTGTTTTCGCTTTCTTAAGTTCGTGAATTTTTGTTATGGTACTACAAAACTGAGTGTTATCGTTGCTTGTCAAACTTTCAGATTGCTGATGTGTTACGCAAAGACATTGGAAAAAGCGAATCGAAGTTTCTCGATAGCTGGGTCACGAAGTGATTTTTGATACATTCGAATCTGTGTGTGCACCTAAGTGAAGTGTCTTCTGTGTGGTCTAGAATTAGTGTGTATTGAGAAAGCTGTAGAGTGAGTTAGTTCTTTAGCAGAGTTCAAACTGTTTCTTTTTATGTAGACTATGAATATATTTTGAATGGTTGGGGTGAATTACTGTTACTGATTGCATTGTTTCAGGACGTGCTTGAGGAATAGCAGTGGTAAAACGTGAAAGATAGTGCGCATTGAATTTTTGTGATTTTTTTTTAAATATTCCTGCGTGAATATTTTTTGAAATAAGGGGTAGTGTCACAGAATTCAATAGCTACTTTTGCTTTTCAATGGTTATGTTGTTGTCCGTTGCCGTGTTTGTGAGTGGGGTGCGCGAGCGCCGAGGACAGGAGCACGAGCTTAGCCCGCGCGCGCGGGGTTTTGTGGAACACATCGCGGAGCAAGGTTGCGACGGTGTGGATGGTCGGCGCTGAGCAGGTCCGCGGCGGTATGGTTCTTCGAACACCGAGAAGGTATTCGACGGAGAGGGGTGTGAGTGCTTGTGAGTGAGTGCTGTGCGTCACTACAACACCCAAGCCACCATGACTTCTCGACCCCGACTGGCGGCGCAACAAACCGGACCTCCACCTGCACCTTGGAACGCTGACTCGGCTCTCCCCCTCCAAAACTGTATGACAACCTCGATTTGACTTGTGTTATTTTTTTTTTCTTTCCTTCTTTCGACTGTGTGTACGTCCTGTGCGCCTTTCCTTACTTTTGAATTATTTTACATAAAATACTGTTCGTAACGTCGGCATGCTTTGCTCTCAATTTCCTCCAGCCTTTCAGGATGTCTATCGCCAAGGTGTGGTCCTAACACCTGGACAGCGGTCCAAGTCAAATTACAAATGTGTTTGTTTAAATGGGATCTTTAACATCCGAACCTGTGACAATGATCTTTGGCGGTGGGAGTTCATTTGGACCTTTATGTGTAGTATGGAATTCATCTAAAAATGCCCTCTACCGACTACTTACCAAGGTCTGTACAAAAATTCAATATTTTGAATATGAACGGAATATTTTTGACAGACATGCTTCGCATCGCTCAAAATACATCTGCCACAAGAGAACTCACCACGTCGCTCAGGTCAACGTTGAACATGCGCCTGTTGTTCCAGCGGATTGCTTGCAGGCCGGCTATCTTGAGGGTCGCTGAAGACGTCCGGTGCAGGAATTTGAGCAGCCAGTCTCCTCTGTGGCAGAAGATATAAATATGCTCTGTCCCGCTCGGAAAAACAAAAAAAAAGCAAGTGCTTGACAAAGCTAATGCCATGTTCAAAAAATGTCCAAGGTAGAGGTGTGTGAATATATTCATATTAGAAAATTTTTCAAATTTCGTCAACGTGGAGCCGTCCCCAAACCGTTCAGGACAAGCATACGCATCTGCTTTACCTAGTTTAGGCACTGAGCCGTCTTGAACGAACCAAGCTCACATATGACTTAGTTGGCAGTTGTGCCAACAGGTGGCAGCATTAATTCTCTTGTTTGCTCCCTTTCTGTTTGTAGCTAGAAATTTTATTTTGAAGACAACAAAGGGGCCGCTGAGTCAGAAATTCCGAAAAACTAAAAACGGTTCAAGGTATAAGTAAAAAACGCACTGATAAGATGAGTTAGGTAAAATGTAATGTAACATTGCAAGCAATCAATGCCTACGTTATTGATTTGGACACTTAAAATTTTTCTATTTCAACACCGTCTTTTTTATTATTTTTTTTATTAGGGGTTTGCTCGTAATTTTAAGCAAGAAAGGCTGACCTACAACAGGGAGCAAAATGTTTGAGACTAGCAAGCCAATCGAGATAATCTGACACATCAGCCATTTCTCCTGCCACGCCGGTGCAAAGGAGGGGAGCTAGAAGGCACATGTTCCGGTGCAAAGCGGTGAAGCTGGTTGCCAGAGCACTAGTGCAAAGTGGTGAAGCTTAAAATAAAAAAAAAAACAATTTGTATTTTTTATTTTTTTTTTATATATATATTCAAACAGTAAAAGTGTGCTGCAAATTGAGTAGGAAACAGAATTAGCAAATTCTTTGAGATTCCAAATGTTTGCAAACTTCCATCCAAAAGTGGACTCACACTTGCAATTGGATCAACTTTTTTCAGGTTTCATGAGATGTTCCCAGACTACATCTAGAGGTTCCTTGACCAGCCGAGCTACCCCATTGTCCTTACGCTTAAGCAATATTTTTCCAGTTTAAGCACAATTCGAGAATAGCCCAGGCTTGCAACGGGGGCCATGAGTTAGACCCTCCAGATTTTCTCTCTCTGTTTAATTGCTGACAAAGTTTGCCAGGTTTTAAGCCCTTTTAAATGTCAAGAGGGTGAAGGGCACCTTGGCAATCAGTCGAGGCAACCAGGGGCTCTTTCAATCTCAAATTATTTTTGATTCTTGACCAGTTTGGTTGAGGATGACAAGCCTGTAACTATGAATATATTACTGATTTTGTGCCAGGTTTGAGACTAGAGTTATGGACTCCATATCTACAGTGCCAGAATATGGTGGCCACATCACATTATATAAGACTTTGCACAAAGAAAACATAATTTTGGGGGAGTGTCAGAGGAAGAGGTAGAACATGCTACGGACGTGACGAGAAAATTAAGTGCAAAGGGGAGAGCAAGTAACCAAGAGAAAGAGGGGGGGGAGGTTTAAACAAAAAGCCCAAATAGCAGCAGAGACTGCTTGGTGTACTCGAAAGAAATCTTCCCTAAGGATTATAGGTGGCAATCAACATTTCTTTACAGAAGACATTTCATCCTTAAGAAGAGAGAAAAAGAAATATGGGTTCTTTACTGTACAAGGTAAAGGTGTGCAAATATAAAATCTTTGATTGGAAATAGAATACAAATCTTAAAATTTGACTGTGCACTGGAACAGCCCCCATCTTCGACTGTCACCCTTACAGACCCGGAAGATATTCAATCATGTATAAGAGCACATTTTTCTTGTTATTAATATTAGATTTTTTTTCCCCCTTTAAACAGTATAAATATTTGTCCTGAATCTATTTGTTTTTCAGTGTAACATGAATGATTCCCCCCCTCCATTTATTATTATTATAATAATAATAATAATATATTTTATTTTCTGGTAGTGTCCAAAAACGGCCACGAAGGCCTACTTATTGGTACACTATAAAAAAAATAACCATCACATTAAAGATGCATGTCTGTTGAGGCACAGGTTAATCAATACTCGCCACTAAATTAACAAATGCAATACACATATATTTCAAGACGCTACAGATAACACAATAAGCTATAATGCGCTTATTGGGCCCTTAAGGTAAAATAAATAAAAACGAAAATGAGAATATATTCAAACAAATATTTTCCATTAAATGTGAACTAAGCATAAACACTCTAAAAAATCATGGCTAGAAATATTTCCTTGAAAGCATACCAATGAAAAGGAAGTTTTATTGCACGAGAAACATTTCACAGGCTTGTATTAAGAAAAGGGGCCCTGATAAGGTGAGTTAACACGTAACATGGCATGCAAAGCAACAACCACCTTATTTTATTTTAATATAGCTCAAAGCTTTCTTTTTCAGAACTTTCCTCGAAAATTGGGGGTCAAACTATAATTAGGACTGAAGAATGCTGACTGAGAATAGGGAAACAACTTGTGGCGACGTCGGTGTAGACGTAGCCACCTGCCAAGGCGGTTTCTCAGACGAGAAGAAGCCGACACGAGATGGAAGCGGCAAGCGCTATCGGGAATCAGATATCTCTCCCCGGCCTGCCTCCCTTTGAGAAACAAAGAGAGCCGCCAGGACGGAGAGACGCGTTGCGAGGAGGACCGGAAAAGAGGATATCGTCGGGGAAGAGAAAGAAGAAAGGGACCCCGACGAGTCGATCCCAGATGCTGTCCGTCCGGCACAGGTGTGGGGACCACGATCGGTCCTCCCGTTCAAGTTGCAAAATAAAATATAGTTAGAGTTTACAAGCACATTCTCCTCGTCCTTTCTCTCCGCTTTGGGACGACCTGAACTCTACAGTGGTGACCCGGTTTTGCAAAACAACCTTACGCAACAGCCTCAAGCCCAGTCATGCCGGACACTGACCCCACGCCATCCGGCAGCATCTCGGCAGTCGCCCTCAAGCTGCCTGCCTTCTGGCCCGCGGACCCGCAGCTGTGGTTCGTCCAGGTTGAGTCGCAATTTGCGACTCGTCGGATCACAGCGGACATGACAAAATTCCACCACGTCGTATCCAGCCTCTCCCCAGCCATCGCCACAGAGGTGCGAGACCTGCTGATCACACCGCCAGCAGAAGACGCCTACAACACACTAAAGGCACAGCTCATTCGCCGGACCAGCGCCTCGGAAGAAAAGCGTCTCCAGCAGTTGCTCACTGCCGAGGAACTGGGCGACCGGACGCCTACGCAGCTGCTGCGTCGAATGGAGCAGCTCCTCGGGGACAAGGCGTCTACCATCGACGCCTCGCTCCTCCGCGAGCTATTCCTGCAGCGGCTACCAAGCAACGTGCGGATGGTGCTCGCATCGGCAGGTGACATCGGCCTTGCCAAGATTGCTGAGCTCGCGGACAAAATCATGGAGGTCGCGGCGCCATCACCCAACATCTCAGCAGTCCATGCCCGCGGCATTCCGGACGAGGTACGTGAACTTCGAGCTGAAGTCTCTCGCCTCGCTGATATGGTGGCGCAAATGCAAGCTCTCCGCGGCCGCAGCACGTCACGCGGACGCCCTCGACGACAATCTCGCTCATCGTCCCGCGCGGACTCCGGCGACTGTTGGTACCATCAACGGTTTGGTGCTTCAGCTCGCAAGTGCGAGCCTCCATGCTCGAAGTCGGAAAACGCCAGGGCAGAGCACTAACGGTGGCAAGTGCTCCCGCCGCTCAGGACAGCCGCCGATCATTGTTTTTTGTGGCGGACCGCACCACTGGCGTACGTTTCCTCGTGGACACCGGAGCAGAAGTTAGTGTCGTCCCTGCAAGCGCACAAGATCGCCAGCACCCCTGTAGGTCGGAGCTCCGGGCCGTCAACAACACGGTCATCCCGACGTACGGTGAGCAGTCACTGACTCTCGACCTCGGACTACGGCGAACTTTCCGTTGGGTGTTTGTATGTGCGGCTATCCCGCACGCCATTATCGGAGCTGATTTCCTGACGCGCTTCGGGCTACTGGTGGACCTCAAGGGGAGACGTCTTCGAGACGAAGCGACAAGTCTTACCATACAAGGCATCCCGTCGTCCCTGCAATCCATCAGCCCCACGTTCGCGGTACCGGCTGAGGAGTCGCCGTACGCCAAGCTGCTCGTCGAGTTCCCGGAGCTGACGCGTATTGGACCCGACGAGCGCCCCATCAAACACACCGTGACGCACCACATTGAGACGTCAGGCGCTCCGGTTCACGCGCGTCCACGCCGACTGCCACCGGACAAGCTACGTGCCGCCAAGCAACAGTTCGAGCATATGCTGGAGTTGGGAATCGTCCGCCAGTCGGAGAGCTCCTGGTCCTCGCCCCTCCACATGGTCCCCAAGTCCACACCCGGGGACTGGCGCCCGTGTGGAGACTACAGAGCCCTCAACCGGATCACATCCGAAGACCGGTACCCGATCCCGCATATTCATGATTTTACAGCATCGCTCGACGGCAGTACCATCTTCTCCAAGATCGACCTGGTCCGTGCATACCACCAAATACCGGTCGAGCCCTCGGACATTTCGAAGACGGCAGTAACAACGCCCTTCGGTCTCCTCGAGTTCGTGCGTATGCCGTTCGGACTAAAAAACGCCGCACAGACGTTCCAGCGCTTTATAGATCAGGTGTTGCGGGGCCTCCCATACTGTTACGCCTACATTGACGACATCCTTGTGGCAAGCCAATCTGCCGACGAACACCTCGGACACCTCCGAACCCTCTTTACTCGCCTCGCCGAGTACGGAATTGTCGTCAATGTGGGCAAGTGCGTGCTTGGCAGGCCGGAACTCGACTTCCTGGGACACACGGTGAACTCTTTCGGAATCCGCCCACTCAACAGCAAGGTGCAGGCCATCCAAGAGTTCCCAAAACCGACAACAAAGAAACAACTCCGAGAGTTCCTTGGCATGATAAACTTTTATCGCCGATTTCTCCCGGGCTGTGCCGAGAAGCTGCAGCCACTGCACCGGATGCTCTCGGGCGTGAGTAGCTCCACTGCAGAGATAACTTGGGACGAGTGCACTACATCGGCATTCGACCGCGCCCGACAGCTCCTCGCCACCAGCACCATGCTTACGCACCCCAAGGAAGCCGCCCCACTTTCCGTGGTCACCGACGCTTCAGACAATGCCGTCGGTGCAGTGCTTCAGCAGAAAGTCAACGGACAGTGGCAACCGCTCTCCTTTTTCTCCCGGAAGTTAACACCCACTGAACGGCGGTACAGCACCTTCGGTCGCGAACTACTCGGTGTTTACCTGTCTTTACGACACTTCAGGCACTTCATAGAAGGTCGCACATTCTTTGTGCTGACCGATCACAAGCCCCTCGTCCACGCTTTCCAGTCTCTGAGATCAGATGGCGGCAGTCATTCCCAGAGAGAGCTGCGGCAGATGTCCTCCGTCTCGGAATTCACATCCGACATCCGTCATATCCACGGCGCAGACAACGTCGTTGCGGACGCTCTCTCGCGAATAGGCGCCTGCACCGTCGACTCACTAGCCGCCATCGACTTCGAGAGATTGGCAGAGGTACAACGCGAGGATGCACAACTGCGCGACCTCCAAACAACACCCGGCAAGCTCGTTTTCCGCGCGGTTCCCCTTCCTATGTGTCCTGTCAACCTCATCTGCGACACATCGACGGGATACCCGCGCCCATACGTGCCTCAACAGTTTCGTCGCCAGATCTTCGACTCGCTTCATGGACTTTCTCATCCCGGTATCAAGGCCACACAACATCTTCTAACATCCCGGTTTCTGTGGCCCAGTATTAACAAGGACGTACGCCAGTGGGCCCGCACCTGTTTGCAGTGTCAACGCTCCAAGATTCAGCGCCACACTGTAACACCACTGGGAAAGTTCGACCAACCTGACGCGCGGTTCAATAACATCCACATAGATATTGTGGGACCGCTGCCACCATCCCAGGGACAGGCGTACCTGCTGACGTGCATCGATCGTTTCACCCGCTGGCCGGAAGCGATCCCGCTGCCCGACATCACCGCGGACACAGTGGCACGCGCTTTCATCGCGCAGTGGATTTCGAGATTTGGCACGCCCTCGACAGTCACCACAGACCGAGGCCGGCAGTTTGAGTCCAATCTCTTCTCCAGCCTCATGAAGCTGCTGGGGTCGAGAAGGATTCGAACGGCCGCCTACCATCCCGCCAGCAACGGCATGGTGGAGCGCTTCCACCGTCAGCTCAAAGCCGCCCTCAAGGCCCATCAGCGCCAAGACTGGATGGAGGTGCTGCCACTCGTTCTGCTCGGACTGCGCACAGCACTAAAAACTGACATCGGCTGCAGCGTCGCGGAGCTGGTCTATGGAACAACCCTTCGACTCCCGGGCGAATTTTTCGAGGCCGTGCCGGCCGCTAATTGTCCCGACCCCACAAGCTACGCCAACCAACTCCAAGAGGCCATGACGCAACTCCGCGCCACATCACCGCGTCAAAACCACGGCCCGTCTTCCTTCGTAAGCAGTGAATTGGCGACCTGCACGCATGTTTTTCTACGAAATGACACCGTGCGGAAGCCCCTTCAAGCGCCATACGACGGGCCGTACAAGGTGCTGCGGCGAGGATCAAAGAATATGACACTTGCAATCCGCGGACGCCAGGAAGTTGTTGCGTTGGACCGCGTGAAACCGGCCTATCTTGATAGCGCCCCATCTGCCACGCCGGCTCCTGTTACACCCCCGCCGGAAAGAACATCGCCCTCATCAGACGCTCTCCCTCCTGCCGACAGCTCGTGCGCTGGCGCTCCGCAGGTAAGGCCAGACAGCCGAACACGTTCCGGCCGCCGCGTCCGCTGGCCAGCACGACTTGGCATCACAGACCATTCGACACCGAACGCTCCCCTCCTCCGTTCACCCCACAAGACGCCCCACGGGCCCTAACGGCACTCAAACGCTCGCCCGCTCACTGGGGGGGGGGGAGTACTGTGGCGACGTCGGTGTAGACGTAGCCACCTGCCAAGGCGGTTTCTCAGACGAGAAGAAGCCGACACGAGATGGAAGCGGCAAGCGCTATCGGGAATCAGATATCTCTCCCCGGCCTGCCTCCCTTTGAGAAACAAAGAGAGCCGCCAGGACGGAGAGACGCGTTGCGAGGAGGACCGGAAAAGAGGATATCGTCGGGGAAGAGAAAGAAGAAAGGGACCCCGACGAGTCGATCCCAGATGCTGTCCGTCCGGCACAGGTGTGGGGACCACGATCGGTCCTCCCGTTCAAGTTGCAAAATAAAATATAGTTAGAGTTTACAAGCACATTCTCCTCGTCCTTTCTCTCCGCTTTGGGACGACCTGAACTCTACAAACTTGACGAGTCCATCGAGCCAACGGAGATGCTCTAACAAGTGAGCCGTTTCTCCTAGCACTCAGAAGCACAGCAGCGAAGTTTGACGCATGCACGCCAGTGCTAGGACGTGAGGCTTGACACCGAAGCACTGGTGCAAAACAGTGTAGCTTGACTAGTGTAGCGGGAGAATTCCGAAGACATGTAATTTTCGAATATCTGAAAACCTAGATTATACTGAACGGTAAAAACGCGGTACCAAAATGAATAGCAAACCCTATATGCAAATTATTCGACTCTTCGAATATTCGCACACCTCCTGTGGAAAGCAACCGAAGGTATGAGGGGTGCATCAAAGATGCCTAGGGGAAGAGACGAGCCAGGGTCTGAACCCTCCCCTTGGTGCTCCTGAGGCCCAGGGGGAGCCACAATGCCACGGGGCAGTGTCTGAGGAAGCCGTCTTCCAGTGACATAATATTTAAGGCATCACATAGTAGATCAACCTTGAAAAATACTACAAAAGTTCCCCAAGATCAGACGTGAACGGCAAATTTCGTGCTTATCACCTTTCTGAGCACTGGCCCGGAAAAACAAACGCTTCTTATTAGAGATGCTCGTGAGTTGCAAAAGCATCGCACGTACGGCATCTACGGCACATTTCTTTCGCAGGATTCTATGAATGTGAAAAGGCTACAAAATTGTACTTTCCTCAATCGACGAAACTTGCGCCACGCTTGAGGGAGAAATAAATATCGGTCTACCGCAAGGCGACTCTGAGGGTCACTGGACGCCAGTCGTACCTGCAGTAGCCGTTGACGATCCTGCCGCTCACGACCCGTGCCATGGGCTTCCACTCCTCCTTGTGAGCCGGAACGGGGGCACCCAGGAGAACCGCATCCTCTATGATCCCTTCGCACCCTGTTCGACAATTTCACAGGCCATTGCACTTCCAAAGGTCCACAAACAGAAAAAGTGCTAGGAAAATGACAAACCTTTCCTCTTTGCCATTTCTTTGAGGCAATAGAAAATGACCCGAGCTCCCAGGCTGAATCCCACCAGGGTCACCGGTCGCTTGCCCTGATGAAGAGATTCATTTCGTCAGTCCACGATTGAAACATGCGTTCCCCCATTTACACGGTATTTACGAAGCTCGACGGAGGGTTTATTAATGCGAAAGCCTTATATGTCTCGTCGTTTGGACGACCTTCAAGGTCCTTGAGCAAAAAACACGTTGACGACACAAAAGGTACCAAAACGTTTACGTGACCACTCAGGCGAATCGGAGGGAATGAAATTAAGAAGGATGATAAAGCAAATTAAGAGGAATCAAAGTGAATGAAGAGGAATTAAAATGAATTAAAGGAAAGTAAGAGGACTACAAGGAATTGTGTGTGTGAAATATGGAAATAACATATCAAACAAATAAACACAATGTAAAAAAAAAAGAACGTGAAACAAAGTAAATCATGCGTCTGTCTTTAAGAGGGGACATGGGCCCAAGTTTTTTCAAAAAATTAATTTTTCAATTTTGAGGTTTTCAGTTTTAGAAACTAATTATACACCCTTACACTAAATTTCATAACTATGCGCCAAATAGTTACGTTGATATCAAATATTTTCAACGCAGTGTGAGGCAATAACAAAGTAAAAGAGTTCAATGTTTCAATGCATTTTTCTCAGTTCCACTTCTGGCTGCAAATTTCATATGAAGGAATCTCTTGTTCGAAGGTAAAATTATACTGATACCACAACCAAAATGTTTCTGAACTGAAATTTACAAGGGAATCAGGCTATCTACTTTATTTTGTTTTACAATAAAGTCCTCATTGAGAAAAAACTATGGTTACAAAAATTGACGTAGGACAGATATGTATATCATATTTTGAGGTAATCACTCTTCCTGAAATATTTACATTTGAGTTATAAAAAGTCCCACATCGCCCACTTTATACTCAAGCAGTTAAAATGATGCTTAATAGCTTCATTTGTATATCATAGATTTCTTAACGAAGAGTGACACATCTTATGCAAGTATGTAAAGTTGCCCTAGGGAGCTGAAACTTTGCACAGTACACCTACATCTGAAGTTAAATCTCCCCTGCAAATTTCATACCGATCACCTGAGTAGTTCAGAAGTTCAACGTCTAGACAATGTCCCCCCTTAATGTACCGGCGCTTGAGGCTTTCGCCTTCAAGTTCTCTTAGGGTTAACATACGAGACCCTGTGAATTTTCATTCAACAATCTTAATTTATCTCAGTGTAAGAAATGTGAAAGTCATTAGAGACTGCAAATTACGGTGTTGTCGGAAACCCAAGGCTGCCCTAGACGCACGATAGCTGTCGAAATAAGAACAGGCACAATCAGAAAACTAACTTTGCTTATTCGTAATTTGGGTCCACTTATGCCGAGCAACATGTAAGAGCACATGATACGCAGCAAGCTCTTTGCAAATTGGCGCCCTTACAACGGATCCTGGTCTCATAACAAAGTCAGCTTGATGGGGCAATTCCAGCAGCATTCTCAAAGTTCAGGCCCCACTCCATGACGCTACTCTTACAGCAGCTGAAGAGATCAGGCTCCCTATGCCAACCAATCTCTTAGCATTTTTACACAACAGATCTCGCCAGATGCAATGACCGAATCCAAATGTCACTTCTTTGCAACGCTGGAACAGACCCTGCCAGATGCTTCAGAGTGAATCTAAGGTCAGCCACAAGCTTTGCAACTCCGCTCTTGGGGAAAAAAAAGGATCTTAAGAGAAAATCTGCCGAGTCACCTGTTGACGGGCCAGCAGGATTTCGGCAAGATGACGTCCCACCTCGGCTGAACGTCGGATGCACACGCCCCAAGGGTTGTCGATGACACCTGCCACCATGACTAGGGTCGCCGGCCAAGTGATGGCAGCAATCAGGCCTGTTCACGTTGCAAGAAAGCGAGTGCCGCAATCTGTGAGTGTGTACAGGACACTTGCAGAACAAAGGGTGTTGTCCGCTGTGCTGGCATGCAACTCTTGTTCTTCCTCGCAACATGTGCCATAAAGAAGTGCACAACTGGGAATAGGAGGACAACGTCATCGTGACATATTAACTATGCAGCTATGTGTGCCGGGTTTCAGTGGGATCAATAATACACCGCAAAGTTGGAAAAGAGTGCCCACCAGAAATCCTTCAAAGCAAGTCAGTGATTAAAAAAAGATATTAATTTGGAAACCCATAAAGGAATAGAAAGAGAGGGACACTGCCAGTGACTTCGAGGCCTGGGCATGACAGCAAAATCTCTTTGAACATAACAGGCAATCCACACAAGCAAATGCTATGTATAAATGTCCATGAGTTTGGCTGTGAAGCTCACCGCTTCTAAAAATGTTGTCATAACCCATTTTTTACCTGACAAAAGAAGATACTTTGTATTTTGTAACTAAGGGCAAATGCTCATTCCATCGCAGAGAGCTACCATATCTACTCGTATATTGAATGCACTCGCATAATGAACGCACCCTGCAAAACGGGCATCAATATTTTGACCTTTTTTTTCCCCTCGCATAATGAGTGCACTTCCAAATTTCGGCTCCGCAAGTCTCGAACTGCGTCCAACGCAGCTAGCCACCAAGCCAATTTTTTTTTTTTTTTTTGCCGCCAAGCGGCTAGGTCAAGTCAAGTCAAGCCAAGCCAAGCCGAGCCGCTCTCGTAGTGGCTGAAAGTGCGTAGTTGCGGAAGTGATCAACTGCGGAACCGAGCGACGCGCACACCTAACAAAGCTGGGGTCGAGGAATCGCCCAGCTCCGGACATGCCTCGTCCATCGGAGGCATTGATGTTAACAAACATGCCGTCGTCTGTGGTGCGCTTTCGGATAGAAATCGTGAAAGTGGTTAGGCCTAAGAACGGTTGCGTCGCTCTCCGTGCTAAGTGAGCTTCGTAGGGCCCTTTTCCTTTGGCAAAAGGCCTGCCAAAAGCGCCCTATGAAAAGTTTGCAATTTATAAAGCATGGTTACCGTGGCGTGCCCACGACCAGCCCTGGGTGCGCATCCGTCAGTGGGGACTTGTCTCATCACCCTGTCGTGCCACATTGGCACCTAAAATTACATTTGTGCAAAGTGTGTAAATGCAAAAATTTTACCCCATGTATATAGAATGAGCGCACCCCCCGAATATGTGTCAATTTTTCGGAAAAAAAAAGTGTGTTCATTATGCGAGTAAATACTGTATACTCCATCTCAAGTCATATATGCTGACAAAGGCATAAGCATGAGAGCACAGCTCTCCGAAATGCTCTGCGCATGACCACACAGACAGAGAAAGCCCTTCCTAAAACCCCACACTCATGCCCATGCCTTCTACTACAGCAGTGCACAAAACTTGCACGACATACACTGCAGAACACTTCTTTGGCCCAGTTCCACAGTTTGTTCAGACAAATGAAGGACTAACATCGAATTTTGCCAATTATGTTGTTGTCCCGGATGAGTACAGCCCTCCGCAGTTGCGAGAGAAACGCACAAAAAAAATGGCAATCACTCGTTTGCACTAACTGTGTTGTGCTGTGTCCACGCAAACTGCTGCTTGCATCAACAGTGCCCCAGTCTCTTACCACTGCCACCGACTACTATAGGTGCCACTAGCTGCCACTCAATTCGATGGTAGACTATTCTCGTGGTGATCCAAAAACCGCAATCTCACATGAAAAATGATTTCACTTTCCACACTTTCACATTTTGAAAACTATGCCAACATAGGAAGGGGCAACCGCGCAATTATGGAAGCTTGTGCGTGGAAGCCCGCGGAGGAAGAAAGCCAATTAAAATTCTTGTGAAGGTTTATTGGGTCAGTCATTATGCTATATAACAATAGAGGTTCACTCGGAAAAATGCGTATCCAAGACATGGCTCCGGATCTGCCTCCTAACTTGCAAAGTCTGGGACCGTGTACTATTACTTAGTTTTGAAGAGTAGCAAGAAAAGAGCATCACACTGAATACTGAATAACTTTAGGCAGCGCCAATATTTCGCTTTTTGAATAAAAAAGACTTAGCCACGGAAGTGCGGTAGAACATTTCTTGCAAATGTGCATTCCTTTAATACTTTACGCAGCCCTTCTTTTTTAAATGTGTTAGCATTTCTTTCCCCCAGTGCATGCAGCCGTCTTTCGTTTGGATGGTCGTGGCTTGGACAGGACTGGACTGGTTTCACGAGGCCGTGGCGAGTTTCCCGCCGTGCTCTTTCTCCATTTGTTTGCTCTTTACGTCCCCCTTTTTTTTCGCTCTCGCAGAGAACGCGACGGACACGACATGAGGCGCGGTTCACCGCGCACGTGCCATCATGCATCTCCCAAATCACTCGGAAGCGCACCAATTCCGGTTCAGTCGTCGTGTTGTCACTAGCTCACGGCCACTTGGAAACTACGCTCGCATTGTAAAATTAATGCCACTACACCTATCTAAGTGGTGCGCACAATGTTCAATATTCAAGGTTCCTGCTTGTCATTCTTCAGTGTAATATCTACATTTCGCAAATGCAGAAAGGACAGTATGCGGACCATAGGCGGCAATCGAGGGAAGCTGTGGTGGCTGCTTCCGAATCCACCAACGCCCGGGAGAACAGACTGGCTCTCCGAAGACAACACTATGCAAACCGTTGCGAGGTTGGAGTTTCGATCCTTTGCTGAGTCGTTGGAACCTTTCCGCTAAATGCTAACGCATCTCGTCGAGAATCAGAGCAGCGACAGCAGCGATTTTAGCATCATTTTTTTTAAGATTGCATAGAATACTTGTAATGTAACAAACTACGGCCTTTTGGACTGGTTATGAGAAGAGTGTTTATTGAAAAAAAAAAACTATAATAGATACTATGGTAGACTCTCATTAACTCAAACTCCAGGAAGCCATGAATTTTGTTTGAATTATCGAAATTTTGAATTATCACAAATGCATCTAAATATGTTGCAAGATAAAATTATGATTTGCCATATGAATGGCTACACATAGAAAGCAGATATTTGATGATTTCCTCTACATAGGCCTACTGATCATAAGCAGGTATGCCACACATGAAACATTTGTAAAATGTATGACATAAGTTGATTTATCCCTCAAAAATGCTGTTTATCGTGGACTATATTTAGACAGCACATGACAACTCAAAACAAAATTAACTTTGTTCATCGGGTCAAGAAGTTGCCTAATGTGGACCATTAAGCAGGGGACATATGAGCGATGAGAACGGGCGCAGCGCGGCAATTTTCATAGTAACTTGCGCGGATGCTGTGACGTGGAACTATGCCATGCCGCCATGTCACAGCATCCGTGCAAGTTGCTACGGAAATTTCCGTGTGGCACCCGTTTTCACAGCTCACGTGTGCCCGCTTGAGCTTCGTTGAACGCACTTCTCACAAGGCATCGGTTAACTGCAAAGAAGCAACACCCGCGGAAGGCAGAGACTTATGTACAGAGGGTTTGGTCAATGGGAAGAGCAGGCAGAGCCAGGGCGTGCACCAGAACCAGAAAGAGGGCTTGACATGCTCTCTTGGCCAACCAGAAGCCGAAAATAATCCCCTAGCAGTGGTAGTGATAAACAGTTTTAATAAGTGTGTAAGAGTTAAATGTAGCAACTCTTCATGGATGAAAATATGGTACACGTGATGTTTCGATTATGATCGTGCAAAAAGATGTAAGAATCGAATCTGCCGCTCAAACTCTGTTTTGTTCAGACAAAGTCTGACTGCTCGGACGGCAGGTTCCCAGCCCTCGGTGCCTGGATTACGTCGATCGTTCTGCTAGTCACACATGCTTTTAATGCAATAGCATTCTTTAGCTACTCCCTCCCCCTTCCCCTCCCCAGATTTCTTAGACTTTCTGGCCTAATGCACAGTAGACCATTTCAGCTCCCACTCGCAGACTCCTTCATATTCGAACCCTCTTCAAAGGACCTAACAACCTTGGCGCCATCCTAGAGGTCGTCCTAGACGTCTCCTAGACGTTGTATTTGACGTTGCACTCAACATCGTCCTTAAGGTAGTTCTAGAGGTCACCTTTGAGGTCACCCTAGCGGTCTTCCTAGATGTCGTCTTTGACGTCGTACCCTAGGAAGTTATCCTCGACGTCGTCTGCAAGGTTGTCCTCAAGATCGCCTAAGAGGTCGTTCTAAACGTCATCCTCAATGTAAACCTTGAGGTCGTCCTAGAGGTCATCCTTGAGATCGCCCTAGAGGTCATCTAGGACGTCGTCCTTGAGGTTGTCCTAGACGAATTCTACCACAATTCATAGACACCCAACAATAGTGGTTTTTGTTTATATCTTCTACATCTTTATATATCTTCCACCATAATGCTGCATGGTTGTGAAGGAAACATCAAGTGCACCATATTTTCAGTCACCAAGAGTTACTCCGATGCACTTATTGTTTCTCGCTACCATCAGGGCTTCTGGTTGGCCACATTCCAATTTGTGAAGACGCACGGCCTGGAACACGCCCATCCTGCTTTTAGGCAATGGCGCCTCCTCATTTGCCTCCTATACTTCTCAATGAATGGCCAAACTCTCTATATTGCCGCGTGTGAACAGCTGAATCAGCAGCGTGCTCGACTCCCCCGCCGCTGGCTGGGGTTTGATCCTTGCCAGCGCTTGTCTTTTTTTATCTTTCTTGTGTTTGCATGACTGAAATGTCCCAGGTGGCTCGGAAATCTTGTTACTTGTTCGAGCTTGGAGACTTCTAGATACTAACGAGCTTACAAAAGGAGCTTCGCATGGCTGCTGTCTACTTCCGTCACCATCAAAGTATCTATGGTCTTTGTTACTCTATGTTTCTCGGCACAAGTTCGCACAAGTAAACATTCATTTTAAGTTTAATTAATGAAGTTTATGTTTTTATTTGTGACAATATACGGCTCTGGCGGATGCAAGCTCTGCGGGTGATGCCTATCCGCACTGCATCCGGTGCTCGGAAAAGAGCGCACTCAAAGGGGCGCCAAGAACAAAAACTATGAATTACAAAAAAACGCTGTACGAATTAAGCAGCTTATGAATGCATTAAAATCATAGCGGGACAACCAAAATAAATTTTTAATTTGAATGAGTTAACTAGAAGTACAAAATATCAGAGTTCGAATTATCACGAGCCTACTGTAAATTTACATTTACGGTGTTCACTCGCATAAAAGACACTGGTTATGAACAAGGATCATGAATTGACTTTTCCAAAGGGCACAAATACAGCCAACAATCACGTTCTGCACAAGAAACATAATGAATAATGAGGTCATGGAAACGCCCATTTGCTAAAATGCGATCTGCACAGACAGCACTTTTGCATCAGGAAATTATCTCCATCCCATAAACCACTGGGCTTCTTCTCCTGATTGGGGAGAATTGCCATCCGCATGCTCCGCGAGAAAACAGACGCACATGCTTTGTACGTCTGTTTGATAACGTCTGTTTGAGAAAACAGACGCATATGCTTTGTACGTCTAATATGATAGTTACGTAATGCGTATTACTCTGCTCACACATCAATATTTGATCCTATTAGCATTTGGCTTTGAATATGAAAATTATTGATACTGGATTTGCTTCAATCATTCAGTATTCTAATTCACTAAACTGTCTAAAACTTCCATATCTGATATTTTACAGCAAAAAAATTGGATGGCTATGCATATACAGCCATATTTGAAAATAGATAAACCACTATCAGAACCCCAGAAGTGAAGTTAGGTTAGCCCAAAGAAAAGTAAAAGGTGAAGTTATCACAAACAACAGAAGTCTACTGAAGTGTTCGTCACACTCAGGTATGGAAGGTTTCTGAAGGGTTTAAACATCTCTAAATGGAGATCAGGGAGCAACATGTTAAAACGACACGGGCAGAGCAGACTTAGGTTGAATGACAGGTACTGTTGCATCACATGCCCTACCTGACAAGATAGTGTACTTGAGTGCCTCCTGTGCTGCCATGGAGACTGCAAAGCTGAAGAGATAGTCGATGGCATGACCGAGCTCCAGCAGGTAGGATGACTCGTAACGGAGGCAGTACTGCTCTCGCGAATTCTGCAGGGTCCTCCATGGCTTCTTCAGTGCGCCTGCAACCATGTCCAAACATTAGAGCTGCACAAGTTTCACTTTTGGAAGTTAGTGCTGAAAGGAAGCCCCACATCAACACTGTGGTCAAGGGGACTACAGATGAAAATTAATAAACTCTGACACAAGACCGTCCCAGTGTTTGGAAAAGATGAGAGGACTTAATTTCAGAATGCTGCTGTAGGGTTGGTCAGTCGATCGGGCAAGGGGTCAGAATGCAACAGTAGCTGATGTCGTGGGTGAGGCATACTGGTATCCGTATAAAGCGATAGCGTTTAGGAGCTTGCGTCCCAGAAAATCTGGCGTCAGCAGGACCAAAAGGTACTGGCATGCACCTGGTCACGTCACAGGCGACGTCACGTGCGACGTCACAAGGGTTAAAATTTGTACACTAAATTTGGTGGGAAACTTTTTCGTTAAATTTCACGGGTCCATAGGGTCATCACGTCTAAGCCACATGACCTCGTGCGGGAATTTCCAACAACCTACAATGCTCACGTGTCATGTCACGTGACACGGGATGCTACCGATTAGACCACATACACACGCTTGCACGCCTTGGAAATAAGCGTGGGTTCATATAAAAGGCTTTGGGAATGGGGACCGATGATGCTATCGTGTTCCACTCTTAAAGGCGAAGCTTAAGCGTGCCTTAAGTTTTTCAGTAATGAAAGTAGCATTTGGCCCTGTTGTAGCAGATTCTGTAGCAAGCCAGATATTGGTTTGGAGCAGCCACTGACACTTTGGGAGCAGATGCCAACATCTGCTAGCATCCAACATCCTATTCATTTCCAAAGTTTTCTCGCAACATGAGAATGAAAAAGTGATTGAATTGATAAAAAAGTCAGTGATGTGATTGGCCTAAGCCATTTTGGAGCACCTTTTGGAGCAGCCAAAACAGTGTTTTGGAGCAGCAAAAGTGGCCTTTGGCACAGCCAGAACAGTGTTTTGGAGCAGCAGAAGTGGGCTTTGGAGCAGCCAAAACAGTGTTTCAGTGAAGAAACAGTGGCTTTTGGAGCAGATATTCTTAGAAAAATAAATACTGTAAACGACTTAATTTTCGCGGGTTCCAATTTTCACGAATCGAGTGTAGCTTCTGCAGCGTTCACATATTGTCGGAATTGTTCGCGAGACACATTTTTCGCAAATTGTAGGTGATTCGCGAAAATTAGGCCCTCGCAAAAATTTAGTCGTTTACAGTATTTGTTTTAAGCGCTGGACAAACGAAGGGCACTTTGTGTTGTGATGGAACTCGCTGCTTGTGTTTTTACTGCTGAGAAATCCCGCAAGCATGCAGTACTGTAAGCGTTGCCGAGCAATTCCGAAAAAACACTTGCTACCATTTTACTGGCTCCCGACGTGCCAGATTTCTATAAAAAGTAAGCAAACGTAAAACAATGGATTGCAAACATTCCGGATGGTGCCTCTGTCGTGCAATCATGTTCACTTGCATGTGAGGGCAACTTCGGCAGGCTTGCAATTGCACGTGCTTCGACGCGAGCGCGAAGACAGCGGCTGTTCAATTGAAACCGAAGCCACTCCGCTCCGTCGCCAACTGGTTCCCAAAATAGTATGCAAAATGTAACTGGCCAGCACATGGCTATAAACAGTCCAGCGGCGCGTGCTTGCCAGACCGGCAGGCGAGGTACAGGCTAAACACACAGAAAAAAAGAACCTGGGCGCATCGGTGTATGACATCGCGAGCCAGGGTCAAAAAGTTCTTGGAATGCTTTGTGCAACGACTGAACTCGAAGACATTGTCTTCTTTGCTTTAGCTCACTTCACCAACTTTCTGTCATGGCAGATCTTTCACGTACCAGATCCCTCTCGAAAGAAAGCCCACCGAAAGAAACCTAAATAATCAATACTGAGCCAAGCAGTCTTTGAGTTAAATAGGGATTTTTGTAGCAGCGTATGATTTAAACAATAACAGGAATGTCGATGCATTTCAGTTTAGAAAGCGCCATAACTGCAGCGATGTGGGGACGGCAACACACGACGTCGGCTTGACCGCGACTCTGGTCGCGCGAGCGCTTCAGCTCACAAAGTAACTCTCACCACGCAAAAACGTGGTTTTGTTTCACAGCATGACGGCATGTCCGGCACCCGGCACACTAATGTCGGAGCGTCCGCACACGCCCACGTCTATCGTTGAATTCTTTTTTAAAAGACGCGAAACGAGATTCTTGAGACGAGGAGAGCGCGAAACGCGAGACGGCGGGAAAAGCCATGCAAGACCGGATAGACGATTGATGCAGTATACATTGTGTTGGGCGGCCGCTTACGCTACCTAGCTCACGCATGCTCAATTACGGTTGTCAGTTTAGTTTCAGTTTTGAAAGGCGACCAAACTGGTCCTTTGGCGCAAGCTTGGCGCAGATTACCCATATTTTGGCAAAATGTAGCAGGATGTCGCAGGGTTAGCCCCTTGGCACAGTTTGGCGCAGTTATCACATCACTGAAAAGTTCATCTCTGAAACCGAGTGAGGGTTACTCTTTGATATTAGAGCATATTACTTATTAGCTTTGGTAATAAGAATAGAAAGGGCACAAAAGGAACAAAGAGCTTCCTTTTTAAAAATAAGGCTCTGGTTAGAGAAAAATCCATTTACAATGGGTATTAAAGAAATGGTTGAAAAATGAATCGTATCACAACACTTCAGTTGGGATGCTAAAGTCTCTCTCCCCTCCCAATTTTACACTCGGTAGTTTATTTAGCCCTTAAATTTAATTTGTGTACAATGCCAGCATATCCGCAAACGTGTCTATCAATAAAAATGAAATTTCAGTCAGTGTGAAGACAAGCTGGTAAAGTTTGCCATGATGATGTCACCCGAAGACTGGGGCAGAAGGAGCAAGAATTTCTGACAGTGGAAGATGCTGTCTGTCCCCGTTACTTTTCTTTCCACTCTAAAAATTCCTACCTTCTCCCGCCCCAGTCCTGGGTTAAAAACATTGTGGTAAAAAAAAATGCATACTCCAAATTTCATGAACCTACTGAACTTGAGACTTTAATATCATAAACTGCAAAAACGACCACCAACTAATATTACGAAAGCCTACAATCATGCTTTAAAAGTGACACCGCTCTTTAGCGGTGCTGGAACCAGACTTGAGTCAAAGTTTGCTGCTCCTGCGATCGACAGCTGCACGGAAACTACCTTGATTACCGTATTTCTTCAAATGTAGGCCCATATTTTTTTTCTCTCTCAGCACAACTTTTTTTTTAAATTAGAGGTCAATCTACAATGACCAAAGAAGGTAGACCTGTAATAGTGCTGAGCATTATTTCCGAGCCCATCGCATTAACCCGAGCACTCCCCTGCGCCAGCCACTACCACCAATACTCCGGTGCAAAGCGGTGAAGCTCGACGCGCGTGCGCTTGTGAGGGGTGATGAAGGTTGACGCAAGCGGTGCAAGTGCCACAGTACTCCGTAGTCACGACACGGAGGCATGCGGGAGACGTGACAGTCGAGTAATCTCATCGGGAGAACAAGATCTTGGTTCCCTCTTATCACGGCATCCAACATCCCACCCTATTGCAAAGTTTTCTGGTGACTTTTAGCTTCCGACATTGCCGACGTTGTCTGGAAATTGAGAGGATATCGGCGTGCAGCCGGACAGTGCATCAACTGGCCCGTGCGAGCCGACAAGAAATGCTCGTTCCAGCTGAAGTCGAAGCACAGCCGACGCCGCGAGCCAGTGGGACCAATCAAACGGCGTCAGAGCGTCACCTTCGTATACGTGTGTTCTTTCGTCAGCTAGAACAATCAAACGCGAAAAATGTTCCGTGACTTGCGATATTAATATCTGTGTTCGAGCCTTCGACTGTGCTCTCACCTATGCGAGACAAGCTATACAGTAAGTAGAGACGCTGTGAAATACTTATTTCTACTAATTTCCCTTCCTCCTACTTCTCCGAATATTAGGGCCAACCAATAATTCAATATTTAAATTTTTTTCTTCGTCGAAGCTCACCAACACAAATGTGGCATGATTCTTAGCAAAAATGGCATTTTGGCACAAGATGTGGCAGACTCTCGTTTATGACACAATTTCGCACAAATGGCACAGCCCTTCCATTGCTGCATTTTCACAATGTAAACGGAAAACTATTTTATTGCACTTTTAAAGCCAGTTTTGCTTTCACCTTGTTAAAAAGATCAAAAAGGCAGTAGTAACACAGAATGTATTGCACGCTGCTTCACGGTGATATTAAAAAAAGGAATTTGGTGCGCATTTTAAGCCTCGACAGCGCGAAAATCGTTGTGCGTAGCGCCTCTGTAAAAAAGCCCTGACAAAGCTAGCGCTCCAGCGGGCGAGGAACGCCAAGCTGGCGTCTGTTGCACATCCACACCCCTGCCTTGATTCTGGTATTTTGCGACTTCACGTTTGCTCCGAAGCACATGCCTCTTCTCTTCCCTCCCAACACATCTGCAAACAGGCTCACTTGACAGCTCCTAGATAAATACACATTTAGGTCGTACCGTTTGACTACGTTTATGAGAACTCGCATGAAGTTACAACTGCAAGACACTGGAATATCCATGTTTGCACAAAGCTACAAATCAATTAGCGCTTGTCCTGTATGCTTCTTTGTCTTTTTGTCCCGTCTCTTTTGCACTACCTTTAATACGAATGTCAATTCAAGGAGTAGCTTGGTATTGAGCGAACCACGGAAATGCCAGAGACTCAGGGTTGTATCTTTGCATTGCTTGAGCCGTGTTTCCAAAATATACTCAATCTTACCCCAGAGTAAAGGGATTGTACCTTGACGTTCAAACATCTACTAGTAACCGACGTGGCCCTATCTGCCTTATCAAGCGACGTGATCTGCGGAAGCAAGTCGGATCTCCTCGAGTATGATTTGAAACACAGCCAATGTCAAACACACCGTAGTCGACGCTGTCATGTGGATGACCTTTACGTAAACCCGAGTAGCACGCCTATCATGCCTACGATTGCAGTATTAACCCCTTAAGTGCCACATTTTTTTTCCCAAAAGTACCCTAAAAGTGCCATATTTGTTTTATTTTGAATTTTTATACCTCTAGTACTACACATATAATTTGAAAAGTTTATTACGAAAAAATTAGCGGAGGCGAAAAAAATATTTGCCAACTAATACGAGTGCTGCCATCTATGATCAGTGCCGCAAAACTACACGGACGAGCCTTGCTCGTTCGTGGAATGGAGGGCTACCGAAAAAACCACTGGACGAGCTGAGCTTGGCCATGGCATTTTTAGCCATAGAATGGCCGACGAACTCAGCTCGTCCAAGGCACTTAAGGGGTTAAAGGGGTTAGGACACGAAAAATAAAGAGGTAGATTACTTTTGAAATTGAATTCTCATAACTTACTTAGCATATCCACCAAGTTCAGCGAATTTCATAGATCTAGTAAAACAATATTGAATTTACTAATGTTGATGATTGGCATCTGGCACGACCAGGCAACACTGGTAGAACTCTAACAACATCCGACGCAGTCACTCTCAACACGATGTCCATAAACCACGCGATCATGACCGTGTAGTGGAACGCTCTCTTCTAGGCTTAGCCACGCTCACCCAAGCTCGCAACACCGCATCTCGCACCCTCTTGTGCCACTCGGCTACTCCGACCGCACTCCCATCCCACCCCGCCCCGCCCCGCCCCGCCCCGCCCCCGCCCTGGCCAGCTCGCTAAGCTACCCTCCATCCCTCACGCTCTCTGAATGTGCACATTGGTTGTCGAGGAGAATGCTCACGTGGCTCCCAACGTGAAAGCAGTTCTAAATGTTGCGCAAAGTCTATTGTGTGGTGGAAAAACGGAATGTATGGGAGAAGAAGTCGCCGGTTGCATTGTTCTGCTTCCCAAAAGACCCTAACCGACCAGAGGGGTATAGAAACGTAACGTCACCAGCAACGTTTGGGCCTTGTTGGACGCGACGGTTCTGCGTGCAGATCCGCTATTTCGCGACCGAGTCGTGGGTGCCGGCGGCTTGGTCGTTGCGAATAATGGCGAGTTTGTCCATACAATCTCGTCGTCGTCGTTGCCGGAGCTGGTTGCCGACGGGTCGAAGCCCCGATGTACCAGCTTCCAACATCTCTCGATAACAATCGCTCTCGTCGCTGCTGCGACCAATGTCGGACGCGTTGGTGCTGGAAGACTCCGACAAAGCGGGCGACGTCGTGGACGTCGCCCGCTTTATAAAATTCCGAAAATTTAGTGGCTCAGAAAATATTTCCGTTCCAAGTTGGAAATCAGATGCCCGTAGAAGTTCAGTGATTTACAGATTCCTGGCAAAAAATACTCTGTCTGATCCACAAAAGATTTAAGCACTCCTTCGATCTACCACCCAAACGTCCCACGTGCAGAATGCATTCGCAATATATGCGCGCATCTGAGCACGAAGCAAAGACACTTGCTATGCTTGCGGAAAGTAATTTTTACTTCTTTTGTTGCGCATAGTTTTCTTCTCTATTGTTTAGGTCACTCTTGTTTACACTATGACGCAATTTATTAAGACGCACTCATGTTTACACTACAGTGCAATTTGTTAAGGCACAATGGCACAATTTGTAAAGATTGTTGGAGGCATATGAGGAAAGCACTGACATGCCTTCGCTTCACACGCAGCTGTTGGAGCGAGAGCAGAGCAGGGAAGGACAGAGGCGATGGAAAACTCGGGCTACACACATCCAAACTCTAATAAAACGCAGAGGTTGTACAAACAAAGACCCCAGAGCAAGTACTCACCCGGTTCGTCATCAGACAGCCAGCCTGAAACTGCCAGCGTGACGTGCAGTCCCCTTCCCTCTGTGAGCGTGTCGAATGCAAACTCTTCGATTTCACCCACCCTCTTCTTCATCTTGTACCCTGAGAAGAAAGATGGCGGTGGCACCTGTTCACACTGTGGATTGCCCAGAAAGTTCATTCTATACTGGAGCTAAGTGGCAGAGTTGGAAGGTGAGAGGGTTTTGACAAGAGCGTGATATGGGTGCAGTTCCCTCATTCACATTTTGTAGAGTATAAGAACTTCTGGGCAATAAATGTTCAGGGTAAAATTTAAGGGCTTAATTTACTGGAAGTTAGCACGCTGGCCTAGAGCTACCTTGTCAAAAGTTTTGGTGTGTTAGCTGCCAAGTAGCAAAAAGCAAACCAAACCTACAAGATCGTGGCCCACGTACCTTTGGTCTCGTCGATTACCTGTCATGGTTACGACGGCCAGCCACAAACTAAATAAACTAGGTAGAAGGCTATATTTCATTTTAGCCTGTCAGCATTTTCTAGTCTGTATGCTGCTAGAAGAGCTATGATCCATTTTATATTTGGCCAGTGTTTCATCCTTAGGGAACTGCTCCTACGGCTTATCACCAAAGCAACGCCCAAATGAAACTAATGGCCAATTTGTCTGGGCCCGCACCGCACCCGTCCAAGGCAGTAACCTCTTTCCACTTTAGTACACGAAAGACTGGCGGGCAGACAAGGAAGCTCCCCTCTAGCAGGGGTGGCACTCGTAAAATGTACTTGGGATCAACTATGGGAACAGCTGAAACAGCTGTTTTGGAGCAGGCTGGGAGCAGCTAAAACTACATTCTGGAGCAGGCTACAAGCAGCTCAGATCAGTTTTCCTTGCACTTCAGCTTGTGTCTTAGACAAGCACGGGAGCACTTCAATTGTGCTTAGTAGCACAGATGAACATGAGTGGTTAGGAACCTAGGTGGATGGGATAACAGTGTATTCGATAATTTAGATCACTCCGGTTTACAAAAGAGATTTATACAACATATTTACAGTCTAGACATATGGAGGGCTCTTGAAGGTTGATGTTGCATCGATCAACGGTTCCAACTAGCTCTGCTCGCGCCGGTAGCCTCACTTCATCTTCTTCTTAGCACATGCTCCTTGGTCTTCTTTTCCTGTGAGATGTGTAGTCGGGCGCGTATCCACATTTAGCGAGAAATGTCCTCAATATTTAATACAGTGTAACAGATGCGAGAACTTGAAACTTAGTGAGCCTTAAAGGGACACTGACACGACCCAAGATTTATTTTTTATTTTTTGCCTGGCGATTTATTATGGTGTCAGAAGACAACCCAATTAATATTTTGCTACAGAGTCACATATATTTTAGTGACTTAAAAAAAAAATGCAACTGCTCGAAGTCGAAATTGAAACTGGACTGGGGAGGAAGGAGAAATATAGAGGAGAGTCACGTGGCTGTGATACTTCTTTTTCCCCAAACAACGTGTTTGCAGCTTTTTAGAAGCCACAGAAAATAGGTATCATATTTCTTTTTTATTTTTAATATTGTGTGTGTGCCTTCGATGAGCTACGATTTTGATTATATTTGGTGGTTGTGTCTAAACCATAGAAAACGGCATGTGGCCACAGAGAAGAGAGTGAGCACGACTCAAACTGGCCAGTTCTCGATCGGCTGTTTTCGGTCGAAAAAAAAACAAAATTCAAATCCCCAATTGTTTTCTGGGTAGTTGGGCTCTCATGTGCAATGTACAAAGAACAACCTTGGCGAGCACAAATACCCTGTCAGTGTCCCTTTAATGAGAAACAAAAAGTGAAAGCCGTTTACAAATCCCTGTAACGCCGAATTGGAGCGCAGCTCTTGAGGAGGAGGAGTGAAGGGTACTGAGGGGAGGGCAGACCCCTCCTCCTCCTCCTCCACCTCCTCCCCTCATTCTTTAATATGCTCCGGGGGGGGGGGTCACGTGACATCGGGGAGGGGGTGTCACGTGACTTCGGGGAGGGGGGTCACGTGACCTCGGGGAGGCGTGACCTGGGGGTCACGTGACCTTGGGTGTCACATGGGGGTCACCTCAAGGTCACGTGACCCCCAAGGTGACCCCCACGTGACCTCAGGGGGTCACGTGACCTTGGGGGTCACGTGATCTGGAGGGGTCACGTGACCTCGGGGGGTCACGTGACCTGGGAGGGGTCGCCTTGGGGTCACGTGACCTTGAGATGACCTTGGGAGGGGTCACGTGACCTTGGGGAGCAGACCACGTGACCTCGGGGGTCACGTGACCTCAGAGGGGTCACGTGACTTGGGGGTCACGTGACCTTCAAAGGGTCACGTGGGGTCATCTTGGGGTCACATGACCTTGAGATGACCTTGGGAGGGGTCACGTGACCTCGAGGGGTCACGTGAGCTTGGGGGTCACGTGATCCCAAGATGACCCCACGTGACCCTCAAGGTCGCGTGACCTTGGGGGTCACGTGACCTTTAGGGGGTCACGTGACCTTGAGATGACCTTGGGAGGGGTCACGTGACCTGGAGGGGTCACGTGACCTTGGGGGTCACGTGACCTTGGGATGACCTTGGTTACGCCGACGCCGACGCCGACGCCAACGCCGACGCCGACGCCAACGCCGACGGCGACGGCGACGCCGACGGCGACGCCGACGCCGCTCAAGCCGGGAACGGGCCCCTAAGAGCTGCGCTCTAAAAGCAAGTACCATATGTTTCTGAAAATAGTGTCCTTGATATTTTCTGAGTGGCTTTCGGCTGCTCAAAATGCAAACCAGCACTGCTTATCACACAACCCACACGTGCTCGACATATTAATTATTTGTGCGAACCACGTGACGTGCGTAAGCAACGGACGTGCGGTTGCGCAGAAAAACAGGGCAACAAATTTCGAGTTTATCCTATTGTGCAACTTGATATCGAAGCAGCAGACTACGATTAACGGAGATATTGTATTCGAAACGATAGGCAGAAGCAAGGCTAAAGTACACCGAGCAGGTCTACCGCTCGCGTGAGGGCTGCTGGCCGGCAAGGTTTCGGATCGGACCGCGTTTCACTCCTATCAAATCACGATTTATCTTGCGGGAATGCGGTTCCAACTTCAATGAAGTACTGAAAGGAATCTTTTGCTCATCTGTTTTCAACTGGCTGACGTCCGGATCCCGGGCCGCCGAGCCTCAGGCAATCTGGCGCTTAACGGCTTGACCTCACCTCGACCAACTTGCTTATGGTTGAAGAATTACAATCCAGTTGCAGGTGGTGTAGCGCTTAGAATTCGACCCCCGAGTTTTTATCGCGGGCTTTTGACTCGGGATAAACAGGGAGAATAAACAGAACAAAGGATTGCAAGGCCGACCAAGCTAAACGCGCTCACTGTTGCCAATCGATAAAGACCGAAACCAACACAAACTACTTTTTTTTTTGGCGCACATTCTGCCATTTGGTGCGTAATGGTGCGACGCATTGGCTGTGGCCCAGTTTCCGCAGCATGGCACAGGATGGCACAGACAAATGCGCGCAAAATGGCGCAAATAGCGTAGCCGTTCCACACCTGCTCTAGCCTTCCGTGTACCACAAACCGCACTGCACCGGTGCGTTTGCCCAGACAAATTGGCCATAAGGTAACATCGGAGACCAACAGAAACAGACTCGTCTATCTCAGTGATGGGATTGGTCAGAGTTATTTTGGAGCAGCCAAAAGTCCGTTTTGGAGCAGCTAAAATAATTTTTGTAGCATAAGGGGCTGTCCAAACACAACACTTAGACACTTCAAGCACGTGTAAAGCAACATTTCTCCGCCGTATAAAGTGCGGCGATCCAGTTCCGTCCGTCTTTTTTACGAAGGGGGAATGGTTCTCACCGCCACGTCTGCTTGTGTCCTTCACAAAGGCCAGGGATGGGCAGTATTTCAAATACAAGTATTTGAAATATGTATTTCAAATACAAGTATTTGAAATATGTATTTCAAATACTTTGTGTATTTTGCATTTGTATTGAATTACACATTGGGTAATGCATTTGACGTGTGTATTTAAATACTAAAACGTGGGTATTTCAAATACAATCGTAATTAAATATAATTCGGTGGGCGAAAATACATCCCTCAAATTTATTGTCACTGTCCAGAGCAGGAAGAAAACTATGTTCTGCACCGAATGCAGTGTCTCTCAATCAAGCACAAGCGTTTAGTGACTTTGTGATTACGGTGCTAGTCTAGGGCAAGAATAGTGACGAAATCAGCGTTCACTGGCAGACTGGCTAAACAAGTGCCTGTGACAACTTGTGATGCTTTCCAGCCTGATTTCCATCCATATTTTGGCCTGGAACATTCTGAATGCAAGGGTCGTCCAGATTTTCGTAACTGGCGCGAGTTGCAACAATAAAAAATTCTCTAGCTAGTGCTGCGCGTCTTGGTCGTCTCGGTTCTTTGTTGGTCTATACCAAAATGTAATCAACAAAAAAAAGCTGCTTGAAGCTCTGTACTTTCTTCACCTATTACATCCAAGCTGGTTCCATTTTTTGTGATTATATTTCTATTACGATACTAGAGCCTCGCACACTAACTCCCGAGTGTGCGATGCAAAATTAAAATGAGATACCCAGAAACCCGTTGCAGGTGCCCTGAAGTAGCTGACGCAAATTTTGAGGAACGTATTTGGAAAAGTATTTGGAGGAGACCAAATACATTTGGTTGTATTTGTATCTTGTACTTAAATGCTTTTTTGGAAATGTAATTAGATTTGTAATTAAATACATTTTTGACGAACTATTTTGTATTTGTATTTAGGTAGATACATATTTGCATCTATTTTGCCCATCCCTGACAAAGGCCTAGGGCACGCTCATCATGTGGGTTCAGACAACCACTCGCACGCTATGTTGGCCGTCAGTCAATCGCTTGAGGACTCTGCTGTTCTTTAAGTCCCAAAAACGGAAAAGTCCCAAAAACGGAAACGAGGGCAGATGAACAGGCAACAGGCACACCACTAGCAGGTGGCGTGTGACGTCAAGTCTGACGAACACTGACGTCACAGAAAAGCAGAGGAGGCAAAGAGGAAAGCCGTGATGTTTGCCCGGTGAATGTCCAAACAGAAGACAGACCGGCGGACTTCAACTTTCACCTCATATGGCGGGGAAGTGCCGCCTCACGCGTTCTCAAGTTTTCTGTTTGGCCACCCCTTAAGCACACACTACATTTTCCTTCGCACCACTGCAAATATTATATTAACATTTGTGTATTAGCCCGTCGGACTGAAAGACAATGTTTACTGAGCCTTCCTACTTTTGTGAAACCTTTTGCTAGCATCAGTTGCACGGTAGGTTTGATGCCCTCGAACACAGCACAAGCTGCTTAGTTGTGTGTAGAAGCAAAAGTCAAGGCAACAATATCTTGATTGATGAGTACCAGTATGAACCGCAGTACATAGTTATTTTTGGTACAGAATCAAGAATAAAGCAAATAGTATATTCCACTGAAATAATGATAAAAGGAATAATTTAGTGCATCCATATTCGCATTCTTTTCAAATTCTAATGGTTCTAATAAAGCTGCAATTCTTACATCAGATAAAAAACAAAACTAATTGTATTTTATTGTGGACATCAATAACATTTTATACGTAGAATTAATAATAACAAAAATCAGCATGTGAATGATAAATATACATGACTTCTTAAAATCAATCCCTCCGAATTTGTTAAGGTTGTTTCCAAGCTTCCATCAACAGCTCTAGATAATTTAGTCTTAGTGTGTTTGACTGTGCCATCAAACAGATATGAAGCCATATAAAGGAAATAGCTCAATGAGAGAGTTGACAGAAAAAATAAGCCTTTAAAGCAGTTCATAAAACAAGGGCAATAAGCTCAATTATTGTTTCTAAATCTCGAATTTGAAAAAGATATTGTCAGAATATTGCTGTCCATTATAATTAGGGCTCCGTGTTTTCGAAGTTTATTTTTCGTGAAATTCGGAGGGTGTTTTTTGGAGTTTATTTTTTAGCAAAAATTCGGCGTTTATTGGAGTTTATTTTTCGTAGATCCCCAATTCTCCGAAATTTGGAGATTAATTTTGCAATGTTTCCTATTAAAATAATAAATAATAACCGGATGCAAACGTATGCCAGATAAAAACTAAAACGCGTTTGTATCAATTAAGATCTTTTCAGTTGAATTTGGCGTTGGTGTCATTGGCAATACTAATTTGTCCCACGACAAAAGTCGCACACGAGTGTGGCTTCGATAAACGTCGATACCTTAAAATCAATAAACTGCCGGAGGTAGCCGCAAGGAAGCTCGTAGTCATCCCATCAATCTATCATGCGGCCGCGCAAGGTGGAATGGTTAAGGATGTAATAGAGAAGTTTCAACTGCCCCTCTTCCCTATTTCATACAATCTCTATGGTCCATGCGCTTTTACTGTTACCCCCAGAAACGTACCCTCTCCTTTCTCTAGATCACAAGTCCCATGGCCCAAACTGGAAACCAAAAGAGTGGCTTTTGTCGTGACACGAATGGTACGATGACCTGTTTCCATAAACTAACCACAACGAGACAAGCTGTGATACCCCCCTTTGAGAACAGTCCAAAACTTGAAAGATAATTATGGTGTCATTTTCCCAGGACCATTGATCTTGCCCTGCTCAAATTGTAAAAAAAAAAAATGCTTTTTTCTTTTTTTGTTGTGGGGGGGAGGGTAGGGTGTGGCATGTGCACATAATAATTCGGAGTTTATCGGATAAATTCGAATTGACAAAAATTTTACCGGCGGGTGTTTTTCGGAGTTTTTCGGATTTATCCGAAAACACGGAGCCCTAATATAATATACATAATACCTGCAGTTTGAAATCATGTGTGACATCCCACTCTGGAAGGGTGCTTTCCCCCTAGCACACGGGTGCACGAGGCAAATCAAAAGATGCATATAACTGTAATGTCCATGATGCGGTTGTTGCTTCACTGCAGTGCACCTGTGCACGGTGAGAAGCATACTCACCGAAGCTAGCTAAATTGGCAGAACAAACCGCGCACATAACCAATATTGTAAAAGATTTCCGAGTACGGTCAGTGATTGATAGAAATGAAATCAAATAGTACAATATTTGGCATCATAATTGAAAGTTCTGAAAATTCGCACAAGCCTACCATAGCAATTTGGCCGTGTGGCGGGGCCTGAGCTATGATATTGTTTTAACTGATATTGACTTCTGGGGCAATGTTGGCACGCATTTCTCAAGTTTTGGCAACATGTAGCTGGATGCAGCAGTGTAACCACTTTAAGGGGGGGGGGCGACGGGGGCGGCCTTCCTCCCAAACAAGGTCGACCCCCCTCGCTCCCCCCTTCTTGGAGGGCAATTTGACATGGATAGGCCCCCCTTGCACAAGAAAGAATGGGAGAATAGTATCCTTAAAAATTTTCCGCCCCCCCCCCCCCCCCCCCCCCAAAACGGAGTTCTGGATCCGCCCCTGGGCACAAGCGGCGCAGCCATCACATCGCTGCTACGCAAGCCACCATCGATAAACCGTGCATTATATGGAAATGCTTAAAAAAATAGGTCCATTGTATTATCCACCGGCGTAAGCTAAATGCGAAATTTTATCCTCTTGTTCGACTCGATCCCCTTTATCCTTGTCCACGCTTTGGTTTAGCTGTTTCAATGCGTAGCAACTGCCACATTCGATTTCAGTCGAAAGCAAATTACCGCTGGGCTTATTAGCTGCACAAGCTGTCTCTTCCTTAACCTAGCGTGCGCGCATGAACTTATCATGCTTCGAGTTTTTTACGAAAGGGGGGTATCGGAAGGAGTCCGACAGACCCTACTCACCCGTCAACCCAGCTCCGGCAATGCCAATGAGTGAGCCAATGACTGCTATCCCAGTGGCAGAGCCCAAGGCAGCAGCTCCGGCACCTCCTATGATGGCCCCCGCGCCGGCAGCCATCAGCGGCGCTGCCAAACCACCCGTCAGGCCTGGACACGGCAACAGCCATTGGTACTTTTCAAAAAGGCACGTCATACATATATATACATAGAGCGAAACAATATTTCCCACACAAGCACCTCTCCGCAGCTTTTACCGTCCAGCCTTGTGAAGGAACTGTACCTCCGGCTTCAGAAAGCGAACCCAGTAAACTAGGAATTAAAATTATTATGATCACTACTTTAGAGCCCCATTAAATCTTCTTAGTTTTGGAGAGTAAAGCATAACATGTACTGTCACCAAAACGTGTAATAGCTCTGTGCAATCGCCCGCTATATCGCGAAGGTATTTTTGTGGAGCAAGGGTAGCCAGTGACAGGGAGCTGCTGAGATGAGGGATATCAGCTAACGGTGCCTATGCGATACGACGTGGCACTGTGATTTGCAACTTTTTTGTATGATCATGAACAGCAGACAAGTGTTGAAACTAACACCATTCACTGTCTTTTGCTTGATACGGTATCAAATCAAATTTGGGGGCTTTACGTGCCAAACCAACGACGGGCATCTGGCACGCCCCAGTGGAGGACTCAGGATTAATTTCGACCACCTGGGGATCTTTTGACGTGCAACCGAAAGCTCGGTTACACGGCGCCTTCTTCGCAATAAGCCTCCGTCTTGATACGGTAGAAATGTACTACGCAAATTTGCAAGATGTAGTATTCCACTTCTTGATGAAACTCTCTTCGTCGATAAAAAGGCAAGTTCAGCACAACATCTCTGTCGATTCCCAACTACCTACTTAGTAACCCGATTCGTTGCCCACCGCACTTTTCGGGTAAAGTTGATTTTTTATTTTTTAAACGCAGGGAAATTACTTACTCTTACCCATACCTGGTGGCAACCAGTTCGTCAAGTGACGTTTCATTGACAGATTGTTCCAGTGACACTGCGACATTTCATTAAAAGGGCACTCATGTTCGTTTCACCGACCTATATTGCAAGCTACTGTGGATACCTTCTTTTCAATAGCGAAGCAAGGCGCAATTGTGCGTAGTGCATCCTGTTTGAAAGCCTAACTTGCCGAACCCAGATCCTTTAGAGCTTGCGGATATGTTTTTGTTTTATCGGAGTCACCTGGTTTACTTCCAGTGAGCAATTTACATAGCAAACAAATTTTTCTATTGACAAAACATAGCCAGAGTGTGCAGTTCGCAAAAGGAGCTTCCATTCATTGCCACAATGTCAATGAAATGCGTATCGATGAAACGTGTGCCAACGAAGAGCCATCCATGAAACGTGTCTCAGTGAAATGATACGGACCGCAAGAAAGATACGCGTAAAACAATACTGACAGAATTTAAGCCTACCATAAAATAGATTCGAGCCTCGATTTCTGATTGTAGGATCCCAAATTATCCAAACGAATAACAAGTGGTCGTCCGCTTGAGTAGCCCCTTGCAATTTAAATACAGCTGCAGGTAAAAACCCCATTAATTTCAAAATCTCAGAAACACAAAAAGAAAGAGTACAGTCCCCTCTTGACTTCCTGCCTTTCCAATTATCATGTCCTCCCAATACACGCTCCAGTAATTGGCATGTTCAATTAAAAATGCCCTATTGTACATGTCAATCTCATTGTAACACGGCAATGCATTTGTGTGGACAGATAAAAAAAGCAGATACCAAAACGCTCGTAGTGTATGACCAAAACAACCACAGCAGCACACTAGTTCTACCCAAGATTCAGTTCACGATAAGGAAAGAGGGACATTTAAGACAAACAGACAAGACAGGCGAAAGCCTGTCTTGTCTGTTTGTCTTAAATGTCCCTCTTTCCTTATCGTGAATTAATAACCAACACGCTCAACCATCTACAAGATTCAGGTTCTCTACGATTTTGTCTACTGCAGTGATGTGCTTGGCCTAAGCCGTTTTGGAGCACCTTTCGGAGCAGAACAAAACAGTGTTTTGGAGGAGCAAAAGTGGCTTTTGGAGCAGCCAAAACAGTGCTTCGTAGCAGAAAAAAGTGGCTTTTGGAGCAGATATTCTTAGAAAAATAAAAATATTTGTTTTAAGTGCTGGACAAAGGAAGAACACTTCGCTCGCCGCAATAAGCAAATTATGGTCAAGTTAGACCACCTGGGAGTCTTTCAACATGTTAACTAAAATGCCAATGACACGACATATTTTGCAAAGCTTCAGTTAAATGACACATATATATGTACCCGCTATAAATAAATAAGAACCAAACTGCACATATTAAATTTATTTGAAAATGACCAGCTTAGTAGTAAATATGAAAGCATAAAGTTCACTAGTTATACAGGGTCTGTCCCAAAAGTTCCCGGAATCGTTTTTTTTATAAATCATCTATTCAATATCAGTTTACAATATTTTCAGAACTTTTCAAAGTAATCTCCCCCTTCTTCGATGCACTGTTGCCAACGCTGAACCCAATCACTGAAGGCGCCCTGAAAGCCGTCAACAGGAACCTCCTTCAGTGAGGTCGTCGCAGCTGCTTTTACCGTCTCCAGCGTCCCATGCCGAGTTCCTTTCAGGGTTCTTTTGATTCTTGGGAATAAAAAGAAGTCCGGTGGTGCCAGATCGGGGCTGTACGGTGGCTGGGGCAGCGTTGGCACACACATTTTGGCCAGCAACTCGGAGACAATGAGCGCGGTGTGGCTTGACGCATTGTCATGGTGCAAGATCCAGTTGTCGCAAATTTCTTTTCTAACTCGTGGAACCCTGTTTCGCAACCGGTTGAGCACTTCACAGTAAAACTCCTTGTTGAATGTTTGTCCCTGTGGCACGAATTCACTGTGAACCACACCTTTTCTGTCAAAAAACACAATGAGCATTGCATTGATTCGCGATTTGCTCATCTTTGCTTTTTTCGGGCGAGGAGACTCCGTGGTGTGCCACTCGCTCCTCTGACGCTTTGATTCGGGATCGTACTCGAAAATCCACGTCTCATCCCCTGTGATCACTCTGTCCAAAAATTCTGGGTCTGTTTCGAAGCGTTCGTGCAATTCCTGACACTTCAACAAACGCTCTTCCCTCATCTCACGCGTCAGGACCTTTGGCACCATCTTCGCGCAGACATTTCCTCATTTGGAGATCCTCTGTTAAAATGCGATGAACGATTGTTTTGGGTATTCCACACTCGTCTGCGACCATTCGAATGCTTAATCGCCGGTCCTTGTCCAAAACGTGACGCACTTTTTGCACCGAGTCATCCGCTTGTGATGTCGTCGGGCGTCCCGAGCGGTCGTCGTCGTTGACGGACTCCCGACCTTCCCGGAACCTCTTGTGCCACATGAAAGTTTGGCTTTTTTTCATCGCGTCGTCGCCGTAGGCTTTCCGAAGCATTTCGAGCGTCTCCGCCCCGTTTTTACCTAGTTGCACACAAAACTTGATTGCATAACGTTGCTCCAAAAACTGGTCCATTTTTTTTTTCTCGACGAGGGTGCTGTAGATGCCTCTGCGCGAAGCGTGACCTGCCTCAGCAACTGATAGCAGACAACTGAGACCGGTCTCGTTTCGAAGCTTATATCCCCCACTAACTTCTCCACCTGAAGCCCCACCACGCCAGGCGGCGTTGCCGACCACAAAAAATCATTCCGGGAAGTTTTGGGACAGACCCTGTATGATATAATAAATTGAAGCAGTATCCGACAGATGAAAAACGTAACTACTGCAGTGCAATACGAAACTGTACATATGAAAAAGGTGCAGTACGATTGGCGGGTGTTTTTCCTTTTGCTTTTTGAAACTCTCTGCAAGGCTGCTGCAAGCCTCCCTTAGCTTTCGGCAAGTAATGAATGTCCACTTTCAATGTCTCCAAAGACGTTGAGACATCCCAGAAGTGTACAGTGCTGTAGGCGTTGACGAGCAATTCCAAAACGTCTCCCACCGTTTTACTGGTTCCCGACATGCCAGATTTTCGTCAAAAGCAAGCAAATGTAAAGCAATCGATTGCAATCGTCCCGGCTGGTGCCTCTGTCATGCAATCATGTTCGCAGTCAAGTGAGGGCAACTTCGGCAGCTAGCAGTTGCACGCGTTTCGTTGTGCAAGCGGAGACGGTTGTTCGATCGAAACCGAAACACTGCCACTCCGCTCCGTCGCCATCTGGTCCCCAAAATTGTATGCAAAATGTAACGGTCCAGCATACGACAAAAAAAGAAAAGTCCAGCAGCGCGTGCTTGCCAGGCCACCGGCGAGGCACAAGCTAATTTAGAAGGTTAAAAAGTGCAAACAAAACAAGAACAATAAAGCTAATCACACACACACAAAAAAAAGAACTAAAGCGCATCAATGCAAGACATCGCGAGTCAGGGTCAAAAAGTTCTTGGAGCGCTTGGTGCAACTGAACTCGAGATAAACAACCGCGCTGTGCAGGTTCAGCGTGCAGACATTGCCTTTTTTGCTTTAGCTAACTTGTCTTAAACTTTCTTTTGTGACAGACTTTTCATGTACCGGGGTCGCTCTCAAAAGAAAGCCCACCGAGAAAAACCTAGGTAATCAATACTTCGACACATCAGTGTTTGAATTAAAGAGGGATTTTAGCAGTAGCGCTTCGTTTAAACAAGGACAGGATTGCTGATTACCTTGCAGCGGTTTTTACATTTCAGTTTAGAAAGTGCCATATGTGCAGCAATGTGTGCACAGGAACACCCGACGTCATGCAACCATGGTGACTGGTAGGCAGGGACCAAAAAGAGTTTTGCCACGGCCGTTTCTTTCAGAAGCGAGTGCTTCAGATCACAAAGTAACTCCCGCCGTGTAAAAACGTGGTTTCGTTTTACAACATGACGGCATGGCTGGTACCCGGCAAGCCAGCATCGGGGCGTCCGCACACGCTTGCATCTTTTGGTAAAAAATTTTTTAGAAGGATGCGAGACGAGACCCACGAGAGCGAGAAATGAGAAAAGGCGGGAAAAACCATGCAAGACCGGATGGACGATTGATGCAGCATACTTTCTAACGGGCGGCCGCTTGCGCAACCTAGCTCACGCATGCTCAATTACGGTACTACTCAGTTTAGTTTCGGTTTTGAAAGGCGACCTACACTGGTCCTTTGGCGTAGGCTTGGTGCAGATTACCAATATTTCGGCGAAATGTAGCAGGATGTAGCAGTGTTAGCCCCTTGGTGCAGTTTGGCGCAATTGGCACAGCAATCACATCACTGCTACTGTTTCACACCTCATTTTTGGGGTACAAATTTCCAGATTTGTTAACACTTTTCTAGGGACCCAAACGGGTTAAAATGTTTTTAGGTTCGATTAACTCGCACAATTGCTGCAAAGGAATGGTTTTTGTTGAACGTTTGACCAGTGAGCAAAACAATGTCTGACCTACCGATGACGGCACCTCCTCCCACCGTAGCAAGACCAATCATGAGAAAACGCTTGAGCTTCTTGTTTCGCTGCCTTTTCGCAATTTCTTTGCGCTCTTCCCTGCACGAGAGATGGACAGGTTTCAAACTCTCGTCTTTGGAAATGCTAGTAACGGATCAATAGATCTTTAGTTGCAACATTTTGTGCCAGATTCAGAATGTACACATGAAAAGGGTAACTACGCTGTTGCAAAAACAAACAGTTGGCAGATAGGCTGTGTGGCAGTGGATTCCTACATGGATACAACTGGTGGTCTACATGTTGAAAGATGACAAGAGAGCTCAACGTACTCAGTCTGTTCGTGCACTTCTTGGGACAGCATCTCGACGACCGATTCTTCGTACATTTCGACCAGGGCTCGAGACACCCTCAGTCTGAGTGCCACGTAAAATATAAAAACTCGTGTTCGAGCGTCGTAAATACCTGAAACAGTATGAAAGTCATTAATTCTCACAAAAAAGGCACAAGCTTTTTTTATATATATATATATTCAAAATAACAAACATCAAAAGCATGCTGTGAGAATGCCATCCAGATGCAGTACTGGCAACTCATAAAAGTCTCACTTACGAAAATCTCCTCAAAGAACAGGTAAATTTTGTGCAAGATTTAGATTCTAGAAATCTTCACGGACTTGAAACTAACTGCAAATTTAGAGAACACACGTTGTCTTAAATGGCAAAAAAAAAAGCTGTCTCAAAATGTTTGTAAAAAATCCACAAATATTTAGTCCACAGAATATATTACACCAAACTGCAAAATTCTGTTCCAGAAAAAGAATCACGTGGAAAATTTTCAAAATTTCAAGCGCACAAAAAAGATATTGTTACAGTATTTTGTTAATTTCTTATTCAAGACCCAGCACAGTAGAGAGAAGTGTTAGCAAGAAAACAGGCAAAAAAAGGAACTCCACTAAAACATAACTGCATAAAAGCATTAGTGAACCCCACATTCACCTTGAAAAATCCTGTTAGAGCCCCCAAATTTCGAACACACGAGGCATCACTGTCAAAACAGTTGCAAATGGCACAACAAGCTTCTACCAAATGGAGTCTTGAAATGTTCAAGAGTAATGTGCAAGGTTATCTAAGTAAGGTGCTACAGGCATAAGTTGCAGGCAAAAAACACCAGTCACTGTTCTTCTAAAAATACATTAATACAGGCCATAAAATGCACAAATACATAACACTGAGATGTGCAGAAAACGAAGAGAAACGAGCAACTAGACTAAAATTGTAGGAAAACATGCGACAGCAACCTGTCACACCTGTGGCCAGTCCTTTGGATATGAAAGCACAAGAGAGAAAAACAAAAAGAGTTACCACTAAGTGGCGCGCAGCCGTGATCACTCAAAACCAATTTTTTCAAAAACTTCGACCTATCTAAAAGGAAAGTTTTCTCTTCTGATTTCAAAGAATATGTCACGGGATACAGCAGAGGAGAGTATGCCAATGTTTCTTAGTCCATATTGCCTCGTCTCATCCGGTAAGACCTAGTTGGTTCTCTAAATTTCACAGCAATTCATTACAAAAACGGGAGATAAAGTGACATAGTACCGAGAACAAAGCGCCGACTCCCGGTAAAGGGCCGTACAAACAAGACGCAGCATATGCTGAGCACGACAAAAATCTTTTTACATGCTTCTAGAAAAAATGCGAACCTTGCGACGCGCAAATACATATTCAGGAAGGACATCAGCCGCACAAACAGCACAGGCTTCCTCCTCGCTTCCTCCCTGTCGTCTCCTCCCATTTCTTGTTTTCAGGAGGTTGGGGACTGACAACAATGGTGGAGGCGACAGCCAGCACAGCATGTGAGTGACTGTCCAGACCCCCGTGACGACCACACTCCAAGCCTCCGTTCAAGCACTACATTAAATTTAGTAATTCTAGCTTGCTACACTGCCTCCTGAGTCGTGTTGCAAATTTACTCAATCCCACTGCAGAGTAAAGGTTTTGTACCTCGGTATTCTAAAACTTACTCTAATCCAGCGCGTTGCCCTATCGGTGTTATGACGCAATATGACCTGCGGGAGTAACTCGTATCTGCTCAAAGCACAACATCTGCACTGCAACAGTGCCCTCTCAGCATTGTCACAGCACTGTCTCAAAGCTGAGTTAGCGCAGCATTGTGTGTCAGCAAGAAGGGCTAAGGTCCCATGCATCGGAGTGTCGACAAAGTACCGATATCAAACTGAGCGCCTTGCCTATAACATTGGCTTAGCGCTGCGGTGTACGTGTGCAGAGACCTTCAGAGTTCAGCACTCTCTTATCCGCCGCCTTACGAAGTTGGACACACTGAGACAGTTCAATGAGATCGATCTAAATTCACACTGCAGCGACGTCATCCGCCTCACTGATGCGAACGCTGGAGCTTAGTGGCCAGACGAGGACACTCACCTCCTTGCACGGCAAAGAGGACGAGATCCTCAACCACACGCAGGCAGTTTCCATTCAGCCCAGGTTCCTCCTTGAGCACGTGAATAAAGGGCTCCAGCTCCCCACCCTCTCCACCCATGAGAGCCTGCATGACAGGTCGGACCTAGGAGAAACGGCGAGGAGTCACAACCGGAGAAGAAGCGAACGCCTGTTCTGTAAAGCCGTAGAATATGGAGCGAGCGCCCACCAACAATTTCTGGATAATCTGGAAAAACTGGAGGACGAGTGCTTGCTAGGTGTGGAAGGGATAGCACATTGTAGGGTGGGCTTCAAAACTTTGCACTGGCGTGCACACATCCTATAACTGCTCGGTTGCGATCATTTCCTAAGCAATATACTTACTTTCAAAGTAAATATTGTGCTAAAATTCTGGGGCAACTTAATTTTGTGACATCCGTGTCCTATCCAGGCACTCAAAAAAATATTTTTTTGGGGACGTCCGTTTAACAGAATAGTTGTGCTCCTCCCGTGGTGCCAGAGGTGGAAAGTGATTCAACTGTCTCCTAAATGACCTTTTGCTAAATGACATTTGAGGTGCCCATGCAGTACAAAAGTCAACTCCCCCTCATAGTGATCTTTATCAAAAGACAGAACCTTTGCACTGACAGATAGGCCCTCACCTGACCAGGAAGACTTAGGTGACAAATGATCTGTGAGAGACACCTCTCGGAGAAATCTCTGAAAAAGAAAACGGCATAATGAGCTTACGTCAAGTTCAGGCCACAGACTTGAATGTGTGCAAAGGTTTTGGTAGCACATGCAGCACACGTAAAGAAGACAAAATAATCTTTTCTTCTGGTTTTTCCCCAAACACAATATCAATCCGCAGCAATGTACTCGAATTCCTTATGTGATAAGTGTAATGATGGGGCACTGATGCATTTCTTTTCTTGTCATTTCATTTCACCAGTGAGCTTGATACTAGAGAGTTTTAGCAGATCGTTTTTTCACCCCGATAACGGCACCCGATAACGATACGATGCACGCACAAGGCCGCCGGAGGGGAGAAGAGGTATCGTTATCGGGGCAAAAAAACAATCTGCTAAAACTCTATTGAAAGCCTAAAAAATCACTCAGTTTTATTTTTAAGCTTTCCAAGAATTCTTGTTCTATCCAGCTCTGGCTTGCAACATCACCCATGACAATGCACATTTAACTGTCATGATGGTACTGACGACATACGGGTATCTATCAGGGCACAATTTACAGACATGTCAGCATGCTTTTTGTTGCATGCGTCACCTGTTCCTTTTTTTTCATTGTTTGTTCATGCGCAGAGGCTTGAAAGTTTTGTAGTGGTTGAAAACACAACTAAAATAGTTTTTTTTTCCTTTGAAGAAGAATAGTTTTTTTAATCCTCTTTTTAGCTTTGTCAGGAGGCTGTCAAAACCTACTATAAACGTTTGCAAGTCCCACCTCAGGGCACCACCATGTTGCTCAGCTGGGGTACGCTTGAGCGCATATCATAATCCGATTACAACGCCTTGCTGAGGCGTCGTAATCGGTTTATGGCAGCGCCCAAGCGCACCCCAACTGAACAAGATGGCGGCGCCCTGAGGCCGTACTTGCAAACGTGTATAAGAGGTGATCTGGATGGCCTGCCTCTTTTTAGGTGACTAATTTGTCCCTGAAAGCTAGATTCTGAGGAATGATGGCAAACTTTGTTTGGTGCAGCTAGCAAACGACAAGGAAGATGCTATTTACAAGTTTGGACCTTTTTGGTTCATATGACCAACACACATGATTTTTTAAAGAACTAGTTATGGAGGAATGATTACCTATACCAGATAAAATCAAATTTTAACTTTTTTACAAGCTTTTTCATTTTTACTTTTGTGTTCACAACAGGGCACGTTTGCTTGAAGCCAGTTAACTTTAACCGCGGTAAAAAGTTAACTGCATTTCCCTACAAGAGGGAATTTTAGGTAATGTCACCGGCAGAGTAAGAACAGCGGGGAAACATGGTGGTGCCCCTGCGAGCAAGCGTCGCTTGCTTTGGACCTAATATGTCGTGGTATCTGCAATATCGGATGCGTTAGTCAGCAATGAATGGTGCAGGAGACTTTAGCTTTGCCTTACCGCACTTAAAACACAAAGCATGAGCAGTGACCTCGTCGCATTTTTTAGATAGTCTTTAGATTCTGGCCATTCCTAAGCCTAAATGAATGCGGTAATTGTCGGCATGGCAGCGTCTCTTTAATTCTATAGTGGATTGCCTTGACTTAATCGGCCGGGTATTGATAGCACGCATAAGCAGACAGCGTCCCAATAGACATTTTGCTAAATTTCCCAAGCACCAAGGTGCATGCTACGAGCGTAGTTTCACGCGCTGCACGTGCTGGCATCTGCAGTAGCAACTGTTCTAAAGCAAAAGACTAAAACAAATTTGCCTGGCACTCGGGTTCATCAAAACCTTATTATGATTACTTACTTCGAATTGTTTATACGGGGAAGGCCAGCGCGCGCGGAGCGTAGAATTACACATACGTCATTCTCCTCCATGCTTGGGTAATTTAGTAATGGGCCAATTTTCACTGAAGCCGAATTACACGCTCTTCAATTTATGATAGAGTTATATACAGTTTATACATCCTGGCCAACCATGCTGCCAGTGTGCCTTTCACCAGCTCACTTCTTCCTCGTCGTCTCTAGAACTGAACTTTGTCATTCTCTTTCGAACATTGAAGGAAATTTAAACGAGGCTTGGCTCCACTTCAGGCAGCCAAACATTTAAAAAATTTTCAAACAAGGGTTAATTTAGTTTTACCTTACCCAATGTCTGTACCATGAGCAACAAAAAGTACTTCTTAAGCTCAAATGTATGCCGCGCTGCGTCGCGAAAACCCGGTGGCACGCGTTCTTCGGTCTGCCCTTTTCGGGAACTATTCCACGAAACTCACTTAGTATATTCGCTACAACCAGTAGGTGACACCAGCTACCACCCCATAATAAAACAGGGAGCTATTGCTCATCCAGCCCTCATCAAACTTGGCTAGGTACTTGTAGGTACCTACCTAGTAAGGAAGGGCAGTTAACTTTTTACTGTGGTTAAAGTTAAGTGGCTTCGAGCAAACGGGCCCAGAAATAAAATTTCTAGCTCATTATATTCCTTGATAGTGTTCTGGCATCACAGAAAGCGAAATACACTTCATATTATTTGAGCCCACTATCACCTGATGGGCGATAGTGGGCTCAAATGATGCTGGAAGATGCATCATCAAGGGTTCATGGAATCACAAAGCCTGGTCCAGGTGCACAGCAAAGCAAAAAACCGGCATTTATGAGATTTTGCAAGCGGCGTCATCATCATCAATGGTGAATAAAGATCCCCCAGTAGCGGTAGAAACTTAAATGACAAAGTTGACCTTGGATGGGTGGATGGATGTTAATGGCTATACCTTTTGTGACGGGCGGTAGCTTGCACCACCTAGGCTAAGTCTAAACTTAACCTTTTCATTGATGGAGACAAGCATCACTTATCAGGAGATCTATATATACTTTTGTCTGTAAGCAATTCTTGTTTATGTTGCTTTAATTTTAAAGCAAACATGATTTGTTTTGCTTTAAAATTATTGCTTAGCAAGGACTATTGTGCTAGACCCTCACTTTTACATTCTCTCACAAGTGAGACAATCTGCCTGAACTATGCAACTGTCCTTGCAACCTGGTTCCACTACTGTACTCTTTTGTCTCACCTGTTCAGACTCTAGTGCACTGCCCCAGTGCTGTGCCCGCTAGCAAAAATAAGTAGCAAAATAGCATTACTCATTTGATCATAAAAAAAGTATGCGTTACTGAGATTCGTTTCCGTTTTGCAAATGTAACAAAATACCGTTATACTTCCAAAATCTAACAAACATTACTTTCAATTTCAGTATTCTTTTTCAACGATAAGCTGAGGATACAACCTTTGACAACAATTAAACTTTTACCGAGTGATTTCATAGTGTTTATTATATATATTTTTTATCAGATTTGTAGAATACTTTTTTAAATTCCTACTGAATCAACTTTGCTTTTTTCTTCTTTTGTGAATTATCGAGTGACCTTTATGTGCGCCGTGTGGCCATGGGGCTAAGCCACAAACCGTGTTTTAATCAAACACACGAGTCAGTGCAGTAACTTGTCCAACCAGAAGGGTGGAAAATCCGTTAATCAGGAGGAAGGAAAACCGGTACTTCATTGCTTAGGAGCCTTCTTGGGATATAGCCAGGATGAGGAGTTAAAATTAAAACCTTCAAGCGACAAAAAATACCACGTCCTATAACAAAAAAACCTGCCGCATTATTTATGCATAGAACGAAGTGGATTTTACAAGATTCGGTTGTTGAACGAAGAAGCTATGCTTTTAGTGTGTGAAACATGTTTGTCTGAGTAAAATAACATAAAGCTAATCTAAGATGCACCTACGTACATATTTCTTAATTCAATGCATGAAGGGGCAAATTGGCAACATTCCGCGAGGAGCCAAATTTTGTTTACTACAGTATCTTAAGGTCAAAATGAGTACAGACGGATCCTGTCGCTTACTGCGAGACGTCTTCGTCTTTACAGTACGGCAGCAGTATTCCTAAAGGAGGGTGAGGCCCCTCTCATTAGATGTTTCAACAAAACATCCAAGGAAGAGGGTGGCAGCTTCCGTGCAGTGAACAACATTGTGTCTTTTGGGCCTTGCATCTAACATGTTACAAGCAACGCGTTACTTGTATTCAGTTACTTTTTTCGGCAACGAAGTAACGGCCTACATAGTTACATTTTAAGAGAATGAACGACAAACATATTTCTGTTACTTTTGATGAAGTAAAGAGTAACAGTATTTAGCTACTTATGGAGGGGAACGTGTACAACAGAAGTACACAACCTGGTTCTTATCCCAGCTCGCGCCTGTAATTTGCGGGACGAGAAAATGTTAGATAGCCCATAAAAGGATGTGTAAAAAGGTGTGTCGGTAAGGCCATAGTTATCCCTGAATGAATGTGTTAAAAAGCAAGGAATTATTGACAACAAATATTGGAAGCGGCCTCTGCTTAAAAAAAAAACAGATGTGGCTGTAATCAAATTACTTTAATGAAATTACAGTAACTTAATTACTTTGGCAGTAATGAGTCATACATTTCATTACTTTTTTGGGCAGTAATTCTGATGCAATTCCTTAATTACTTTTGTAGCTTTCAGCATATTTTCTGCACCCTAAAGAAATGAAGGGCAACTATTTTTTCCACAAAAAATACAGTTAAAAAAACTGTAGAAGGCAAAATGTAGAAAAAAGAAATGCATTAGGTAACTTACAGAGGGACACATCTTAGAGACAACATAAGTGGTTGGAGGCATACAATAGCTAGAGTGCAACACTCATACACAGAATGATGCTCTACTGCTAAAGAAATAAAGAAAGAACAGGAAATTGATACAAGAATTAGAATCTTTGTTCCCACAACCATTATGAAGCTTATTCCTCGAGGGTGTTCCTGGCATGAGCTTCTTCGTTGCCCCTTTGTGAGCACAAGTTACGAACTGGTCAGGAATCCAGTATACAAAGACTGACACAATAAAGCAAAAGGACAATGTTTGCTGTGCAAAGGTGTCATAGAATTTAAGGGGAATTTAGTAGAGCTGGGCACTAGAGCTGGAGCGGTCTTTACTCTGCGATACTATGAGCGAACTCCTCATTTTCTTTGCTGGTAAAACCACTCAAGAGATTATTAAGCAAGTGCAGGATGGAAAGAGTAACTGAAACTAATGCCGTTACGGTAGTTCTTTTCAACATATTCGTAATGTAATTTAATTACACCTTAGTAGTATTAAGCAAAATAATTAGTAGAGTAATTTAGCCAGCTTAGAAAAAATGACACATTTAGATTAACGAGAAAACATCATGCATTACTTCCAAGCTGAGGTAAAATGTTCCCTTTGAACCACAGTAGCGAGTAATATACCTACTAGTTAATTTCTGAGTGAGTAACCAGTAACGGTATTTAGTAACTATCTCAGTAGCGTATACATGTCTGTTTTGGCATCAGCGTGGGAACCAGGCACGTAGCCAGGGGTGGGCCCATGGGGCCTGGGCCCCCCCCCCCCCCCCCCCTTCCCGAAATCTTCCATTTTGTTGGGACCTCCTCTTCCCCTCCCCATCCCCCTCCCCTCCCCCTCCCCTCCCCCTCCCCCCCCCCCCCCCGAAACAAAATCCTGGCTATGTGCCTGGTGGGAACATTAACCTTCTCAGTGAGGGATTTCTAAGTGATGCCGTGGAGAAGAAATATTTCCCCTTTTCGGCGCAGTCTAAAGAATGCAAATTAATTTGTTATTGAGCTAAAGAAAAAAAAAAACTTATTGAAAGTAACAAGTAATGTAATTTGATAGACGATATTGCAAATGATGCCGTGGAGAAGAAAGATCATTTATCCTTTTGACGGAGTTTACAGAATGCGAGTTAGTAATTTGGTATTAAACTAAAACAAAAATATTAATCAGAAGTAATGTAATTTACTATTTTAATTTATTACGTAATGTAATTTGTTAAAGTAACAATTTGATAGATGAGACCACAAAATAGAAACCAAAATACTTTATTCCTTGGTAATTTAGAAATACTATATCAAGTATGTTAGTGCATTACTGCAAAATGTAATGCGTTACCTGTAATGTCGTTGCTTCCAACACTGACTGCCCACTGATGAATATTCTGCAGTTGCACAATGTTGTTACAGGAGAGGTGAACTCCGCCTCTTTCACGCGCCTTCTCAATGAATATGCCAAACGCAGTACTATTCCAATTACGGGGTTAGCTCTCTTATGAATATATTCCAATAAACTAAGAAATAAAAGCCTTTTGTTTCCCCAGTTTATTTAATCGTTTTAGAAATAAAGGTGAATTTTTATTGTGATATATCAATATTTATATGAACTGCTGTATAATAAACTAATTGATTCCAAACATATTTTGCTCGCTGGCACAAGCTACTGCCTAACAAATAGGGGTGCCTCCTCTAGGCTTCCAGCTGATAGCTGATTGGCTCTTGATACGAAATTCGTAGAGCTTGGTACACTGTGAGATGGTTCACGTTCGCATGGCAGTGCTTTCTATGTGGCACAGTCTTCGGTGCAACATTTTCTCAGCATTGCATGCACGTTAATAGAATGCGACATCAGTGAAACTGAATATAATGGATGAGTAGTGTGTGGCACATGCAACAGCTTCCTTCATAGGTAGCAGCTCTCCCAAAGCCTGAAAAGAATACAGCAAACTATGTAGGCATGCAATGGCAGTGGAATAGGGCTGAGAGTTTGGCACGTGGTCCTTGTGTGTGTGGTTTCATTTGCCTGACTGTCGCGCATGTCTGACGTGGACCGACCAGAGGGAGGTCTCACGGAGAGTAGGCCGTATTCGAATACCACGTACCTGTCCCATTCATCCGGGAATAAGTCATGGAGTGAAAGAGCACAGATGGCACAGTACGAGTAGAGGCCCGCATCGCCAAGGAATTTCTGTACAGGCCTGCCAATTCGATGTGGCACTGGAAAAGACAAAGACAGCCGTGCAGCCTAAGATAACCGTCCCAATCCTTACAACCAAACCAGTTACTGATTTCCTTGGAAATATCCCTATAAAAAGCCCTAGGTTTATGTTGTCACCTGCCTAGAGCAAGTGTCAAGGTATTTAACGTACAGGCAAAGGTTAGCCCCTACAGGATTCGAGTGTTGCTTCACCGCAGTACAGGGCCGGGTGACTTGGACAATGCAGTAAGACTGCTCAGCTGGGATCTTCGCGACGAACAACGTAGTTTTGATTATGCCGGCACGAACAGACGCGCAGAAGGATGTTTTTGGTTTCTAGTATTTGGTGCAAATTTCGACTAAATAAGGGATAAAGTTCGGGTGGTCGATGGTTACGCCATCAATGTTCAAAACAAACAGATGATATATTGAGAACGCCCCCGGGCTGTGAAAGATCAGCTGATGATAGAGGATCGATAGCGACGAATTCCTCCGATGGAATCAATTAGCTATCCGAAGTTTCAAACAGAAGTCCGGAATAGCCCGTTCGTATATTTTACCGGATTTAAGTCCAAATGCTCAAGACCAACGCTTACCTTGCGCAGGACTTTGAAATGCTTCCTCAGCTTCCAGACCGATCTCGTCGGCCATGACAGATGTTACAATTTATGTCGTCCTCCGTCCTATGCCACACATGAATAATCTCATCTCAGTGTCGTCAGCGCGCTACCTGAGTTCTCGAGTTCATTTGATAAGTAATAAAGCGCAGCAAACTAGAGGCTTTAAAAGCGCGTTACCCTCTTGCAACTGCATGTGATATGTCAAGCATACGGACCAGACGAAACATGACCTGTTCGCGTATGATGCATGCGCACCGTACAAGTAGTTTTCCTCATTGGCGCACGATTTTGTAAACGATTAAAATATCATACGTTCGTTAAAAAATACACATATCTAACCTTTGTGTTATGTTGACCTACGCTATTGTATTCCAGGCGGAATTAATGTCCTAACTTGATGACGAAACTTACAAGGCCGAAAGCGCAGCAGCTAACCGTGGCCCATTGGCGGAGTGATACAATGACAAACCACGCCAACCACGCTGTATGAGCGGAAAACGTGAGCAGCCGAAGCAGAAGCGCGGCAGATGCAAGGCTCGGAGGTGAGCCTGAGTGAGCCGGTAAACGCAGCAATTTGTCCGTTTGTTTTGAGGCAAGCGTTTGATGACGCCCTTCTTTTCTTCACGTGCCTGACTGATATGTTTTCGGACGATGAACAGTGTCGGAAACGAATGCAACGAGCTCAAGAAGGAGTACGACGCGTGCTTCAACAGTTGGTTTTCGGAGCACTTCTTGAAAGGACGTAAGGAAGACCGCTGTGCACCGCTGCTCAAACAGTACCAAGAGTGCGTGAAAAATGCCATTCGCACGCACAAGATCGAACTGTGGGAAGTGGAGCAAGACGTTCTCGGCACCGACAAGGAAAAAACGTCGCCTCCGCCCAAGAAGTAACGCCGTCGTAGTCCCGCGGTCTCCGGAACCGTGGTCAGCGTGTGTGATCACCGAAAACGTGCTTGTATGATGCAATGTTTTTTTGTTTTATGTTTCGCTTTAGAGTAAAGCTGGTATGTTTGGCACTTTTGCTCTTTATTTCTTGTTTTTTACAGCGGATTTTATTCTGATTCAATTGTTAAAAGCTATGTCGTCAACCCGCAAAATCCTTTGCCGCGACAGTGCGTATTAAACGCGATAGCGTCAGCTAAATCCAGCGACTTTAATAAGTCTACCCTGAAAAAAAAAATAATAATAACGCCTTTAACGAACGGAATGACCCCAGCGACATCAACAGCGGGCAAGGCTGGCAAGGCCGGCAAGAAGGCACGTGGTGCATGTGTGACGTCAGCTACGTCGTACTTCGGGGCGTGCAATTGTCGGTTCTGCTGCTTGCCGCTCGTTCGGAATGGGGGTGATTCCAGTCGCCGCATTCGCCATCGGATGCGTCTTGCCACTCGCAGTGGCTTATCCGAACCTCGACTACCTCGGCAACGCGTCCTTCGCGCTGCGCTTCTTCAACTCTGTGCCCGGGAGACCGGACGACTTTGGGCGGTCCCTCCACACGATCGAGACCCTGACAGGCGCGTTGCCGGAATCGGGAGAAAAGCCGTCCGGCAAGCGAAACAATCTACTCGAAGTCGCCAAGAGACTGAATCTCACAAAACTAGTCGAAGCCGTCACCAAGGTGGGCCTTCATCATGTGCTGAATCACGAGGGTAAGAAACTGTACTCCTAATGGCGCCCGACAGCAAATTTGTTTACTAAAGGTCCTTTTATATATATATATATATATATATATACACATAATTGAGTTTTAAATTGTCACTTTCGTTTTAAAGGAAATTGATGGTGCCGCTGAGATTTTACACTCCATCAAGGAGATTCTCTTTGTGCACGTCTGGAAATTTTCCAACGTCCATTTACATGTAATCGCAGTGACGTAATGGTGAGTTTCTGAATTTAAACGCTTCAATGTATACTGTTGTCCACACAAAAACGAAACGACTAACAATGTAAATTTCTTCCATGCCTACCTGAATTTAGTGCCTGGGTTCGTGCATCCTCCCTAGGTCCCTTCACGCTGTTCGCCCCCACAAATGAGGCATTTGACAATGTACCTGGCTACTGCAGCAATGTGCCACTCCTCGACATCATCAAGTACCACATTGCACTTGGCTCACACAGGAAAATCGAGTTTAAAAACAATGTGCAGCTCGACACCTTGCTGGTAGGTCGCAGAGTCAGGGTGAACATCTACCCGAATACAAAGGTAAGTTCCCCCCGTTCTAAATTCCCCTGCACGATAAAGAGGGAAAACAAATTCACCAAGAAGAAAAACGGAGTGTCTAGAGTTCCGTCCAGACGGAATAGTAGCAGACGCAGTAGAGTTCCATCCAGACGGAACGATATCAGGCCCAGCAGGGTTCCGTCCAGACGGAACAATAGCAGGCCCAGCAGGGTTCCGTTCAGATGGAACGATAGCAGGCCCAGCAGAGTTTTGTCCAGGTGGAACGATAGCAGGCCCGACAGAGTTGCGTCCAGATGAAACGAAAGCAGGCCCAGTATAGTTCCGTTCAGACAGAACGATAGCAGGCCCAGTATAGTTCCGTCCAGACGGAACGATAGCAGGCCCAACAGGGTTTTGTCCAGACAGAACGATAGCAGGCCGAGCAGAGTTCCCTCCAGACGGAACGATAGCAGGCCCAGCAGGGTTCCGTCCAGACTGAACAATAGCAGGCCAAGCAGGGTTCCGTCCAGATGGAACGAAAGCAGGCCCAGTATAGTTCCGTTTAGATGGAACGATAGCAGGCCCACTATAATTCCGTCCAGACGGAACGATAGCAGGCCCAACAGGGTTCCGTCCAGACGGAACGATAGCAGGCCCAGCAGGGTTCCGTAAGACGGAACGATAGCAGGCCCAGCAGAGTTCCGTCCTGAGGGCCCAGTAGAAAGTATTCTTCCTTTTCATGTCCAAGCTATAGGAACAATAGTTAAGCTCTCTGTCATTTTTTTTGGGGATGCCAAGGATGTTTTTGTTGTTGTGATCATTGACAAGGTGGAGCCACAATACTAGGTTCTTATTATGTGAATGTAATTACAAAATTATGCACTGCAATCAAAGTGAAACATTGTGAGAAGTGGTGACAGGGAGTGCTCCTTCATTACGACAATGCACCCAGTCTCAGGTCTTGCATTAGAATGCTTGTCTTTCCTGAATAAAGATTTGGAAATGATATCCACCACATCCACTGTTTCTGGCTCCCAGTAACTACAAACTCGTTAAAAAAAAGAAATATTTGCATGGGAGATTTTTAATGGGTCTATGAGGTAATAGAGGCCGGAGATCTGCTGCTTGCAGAGGTTGGACAAACTGTTTTTCATGAAGCAGTAAAAATGTTATAGGATTGCTAGGACAAGTGAATTCAACTTATAAAAAAGTCTAAATTAAAATGAACATAGCCAGTTGTTACTTCGGAAATGGGTCAAGGGTATAGGTATCGACCCTCATGTTTGCTGGACAGAGCCTCAGTGGGGTGTTTTTCTTCCTGGAACTTTAGCAGTGGCTATAGTTCCCTCTGGACGGAACTCTAGTATCGACTGTCATTCCGTCTGGATGGAACTCTGCAGGGTTTGCCAACTTTTCGTCTTGACGGAACTCTAGTGGTGACAGTTGTTTTGTCTCGGTGGAACCCTAAAAAAGCTGACTGCTAAGTGCTAAAAAAAAAAAAATGGTGCTGGTCCATTCCCAGTTGCTGTCACCCCATGTATTTTGGGCTTTTTCTGCCACTATTTTTTCATTGCAAATTTTCGAAATTTATAACTTTTGAACCAGATAATGGCAAGCTCTGAAACTTTGGCCTTTGGTTTGGACCACCTGCACTACATTTGGACAGAAAATGTTGGTTTTCAATGCACAGTTTAAATTTGGTGTGACAAAAACCTTTTTTTTTTTTCACATTAAGTTGATTATAGAGGGGAGCAGAACGATTCCTTCAAGTGCAATAACGAACACCACGGAGACTTGCTAAGAGCCTGAGACCCTGGCTGTTCAGTTGTCTGGAGCACTAAGTTGGAGCCAGTTTCATTTTTCGTACAGCTCCTGGAAATACTTGAATACCCTGGATTTCGTTTGAAGCCTTTTAAGGGCCCTTAAATATCCTTGAAAGTTAAAACAATCCTTGTATTCCTTGAAAATCCTCCATCAAATGCGGAAATGGGGCCGCGTCGTCTGGCAGCATGGCATGTCGTTTGTTCTAATGGATAAAGCCACTGCCAGTCCAATCCAAGGCATCCCATGTAATTGCCATTTTTGCTTTTTGTTGAGTGTGTTGAGGATCGACTGTGTTGGTGAGCGTGTGACACCTTCAATCGAGACTAAAGCTAAAATGCCGGGTGGAAGTGTAAGTATCAGCCTTCTTGGCTAGAACACAAAGACTATCTATCGTCAGTGGGTGAGACCAGATACGAATGACTCCTTCCGAGCAAAGTGCGCAATTTGTCGAAAGTCGATTGATGTTGCCACAATGGGTGAAAGCACTTTGAAGAGTCATTTGAATAACGCAAAGCACCGATCTGGAGCCAAGTCAGTGCTTCCAACTCGTCTATCACCTCTTACCTACTAGCATCGGACTTGGCGCCGGATACGCCCAGGCACCAGCGTGCAGGTGCAAGTACCTCACAGGCCGCAACCCTTGACACGGATTGTCGGAAGCACGAAATGGTTGTTGAAGCCGAGGTTCTGTGGAAAATGAAGGCTGTGTCGTCTCACTACTCCTACAACTTCTGTCAGGTTGTGCAGCAGAGAAAATACTGAAAAACAGCAAGGAGAGCCCTAAATGCATTCGTGAGTTTAGATTTGAGTGTCGCAAGTTTCTGTTTGAAATGACATTGAAGCTTTTTGAAAAAAGTCCTCTCAAGTACCCAATTGTCCGAGGGCTGTCCTGCTTTGATCCCAAAGAAACGGCGAAAACAAAAAGATGCCTTGGGAAGCTCAAAGTTGTTTTTAATTTCTGTATCAATGCAAACCTTTCTGAGCACAAGAGGGACCTGGTTTGTGGGCAGTAGGTTGATTTTTGTCACGAGTTCCGACATGAACTGCAAGGCTATGAAAGAAGCCAAGGGCATATTGATAAGTTTTTTTGTGCACCTGACAAAGTACGACACTTCCTTTTCGACACTGTGGGAAGCAGTAAAGCTGCTGCTCCTGCTCAGTCATGGCCAAGCTTTCGTTGAAAGGGGTTTTTAGTGTTAACAAGCATATCGCTGTTGAAAACTTGGCAGAGATTTCATATGTTTCTCAGCGGATCATCCTCGACGCTATCGAAAACCACGGTGGCCTGCTCAATATTCCACTGTCGAAGGACTTAAAGTCCTGTGTACACCTAGCAAGGCAGAAGTACACTGCATACTTAGAAGAGCGCAAGCAAAAAGCAGCCTGTGAGCAGAAAATTTTGAAGAAAAAAGCAGTTGAAATGGAGCTGGAGGGAACGCATGAGAGGAACTTGAAAGTCCAGAAAACTCTGAACTGCGTGCTTGAGTCGGCGGATCGCTTCTCAGAAGATACTGAGGCGAAGAATGACTTGACACTTTTGGTCGAGGCCAATAGTTTTCGCCGAACAGCAAAAGAAAAGGAAGCAACTATAGCTGCTGTAGAACGAGAAATTCTGGCCAAGAAATAGCTTATTTCTTAACTCCTGTCAATGAATACATTTCTTCGAACCTTCCTTGAATTTTGCCTTCTGGTGACCTTGAAATCCTTGAAAAGCCCTTGAATTTTCTATAAAAAATTTTGTATGAACCCTGCAGTTTGGTCTCAGTTAACCCTTTGGACAATTGAGATTTTCCCCCAAGAGATGTTTCCCAGTGGTCCGGTCTTGTTTGCTAAGGAATAGCATAAAGAGAGGGTCAGTGCACTGGTTTTTTTCTTAATTGTCTAGCAAGAACATGTACAGTGCTTGCAAGTAGTTTAGGTTTAGAAGCATCAAATGAAAACGTTGATGGCGAAAAGTTTTCGCCTTTCTTTCATTCTGTGTCATTTTGGCACATCCGCTTCCGCGACGTTCCACTGTCTTCAGATTCCTAACCGGAGGTACTTTACGGAACTTCTCTGTCGGATCATGAGCTCTAATCCTCAAAATTTAATTCCGAAAAGTGTTTGAAGTTTACATTAGAAGAGCCAATGCTCCCATCGGCTCTACCGCCAGAGCGGCCAGTATCCAAAGTGAGCGCCACGTGCGTGGAGCTCTTAATTTATAGACTGTAAATTGCTTGTAAAGCAGAACAATGTGTGAATATAATGTTTTTGATTCACAAAAGACAACAAATAGCAACACCTCCAGTGGTGTGCACAGTTTCACATTTAGGTGGGCACATTCGAATTTGTAATCACCGCCGTGCATGTACGGCGACGACCGTCAAAGGGGTAATGATCATGCTTTCCAGAATGTTATTTTCCCAGACCACATTTCTGACTCTTGTTCGAAACCTGCATTGAATGCTTCCAAAATCGCTTGGCACTCTCCTGGCTGTTCGCATTGCTCTTCTGCCAACAGAGCCCATTCTTCTCATCATAGCCTCTGCCCATTTTCGGTCAAGTGCCAGCAAGACATCATTTTCAGGGAGCTTGTTGGCTGTTTTATTTCAACAATTCCTCAAGCAGCTGCAATAATGACGGCTTGACTGACAACTCTTCCCTTCACTTGTAGCCTATCAATGTACCCTTGCACATCCTGATCCAAATTTCTGGAAACATGACCTGCCGACCTTGATTTTGGGTAGGTATGCATCATTCAAAGGTGAAACGGTACTTTCACTTAAAGGAATGCTGAACCAAAATTTGGAGCTCACAAAACAAAGCTGGAGCAAGAGACGGGATTCTGAAAAACCCAAAAACATCACTCATACAGCAATATCTCTTACGGGTGACCGTATTTTTGGAAAAAAAGTGCGCGATTGAACAAGGCCGCCGAGACATTCATGTCGCGATTCTCATTCCCTCTCTTCTTCAGTGTGTGCTTTCAATAAAACGCAACCTTGATTATTTATGGTGGTTGTGTCTAAAGCATAGAAAACGGCACGTGACCACGGAGAAGAGAGTGAGAGTGACTCAAACCGGCCAGTTCTCGATTGGCGGTTTTCGGGCAGAAAGAAAACGAATTTCGAGCCGCATATTGTATTCTGGGTAGTTGGGCTCTCATGTGTCATGTACAAATATGAAATACCTTGGTGAGTATAAATACCCTGTCAGTGTTCCTCTAAGGGTTGCCCCGG